TAGGGAGAGCATTAAAGAGGTTTATATACCCAGATTAAGCTTGTGATAAAGTAAATGCAACTTCATTCTTGGTGTGCTGAAGTATTGTGTTGGTCGAGGTTTTCTCTGGTAAAAATTGTGAACTGACGACTTACACTGGCCATCCACCATATGGGTCATAAATAATTTATTTTTCTGAGGTGATATTTACATTTACAATTGCACTACAGTATATTCATGTATTATTTACAAAATTATTAAATTATGATGATTGTGTTATATCTTGTTTAAATGTAGAAAGTATTGAGTTGGGAAAGAAAATGACATTAACACATACTGACGTTAATTGTTTAAATGATGTTAGTGTCAAAATGAATGTGTCTGTGAATTGAAACTCTCTTAACTACATACATATATATAATTTGCTATGAAATTGGACACACATGTTCAGAAATATTTATAGTGTGTTCAGTGGTGAGTGGAAATCGTACTCGCTTCCTCACACAATAGTAACTGCTGGTGTTCATTAAGCCGATCCAGCTAGGGGTCAGGGTACTGTATAAACGCCCGTTACGGTGTGTTGGCTAGTGACCTGTGTGTCTACGAATGACTCGCCTCTGTGCTTCAGGTGATTAGTGAGTTTAATCTGGCGAATAATTAAAAAAAACAAAGCTTAACACAGCCAGATTGCTCCAACATAAGCTGCTTTAACACTTCGGGATCAGGGGGTGGACGAGGTAGGGCGGGTGGATGTTAAAGACTCGTGGTGCAAGTTGGCTGGGGAGTGTAGGAGAAATGTTCTGTCAGGGGATCTGTCAGTTAGTTGGTCACTTATTGAAGAAAGGTTTTCTCATGGTTGAGTTATGTTGTTTGTGTGTTTCAGAGGCGCCACTAACACTGTGGAACACGTGTCATCTATGTTATGTCAAGGTATCTAGCCGAGAGTGTCACTAACCCTGCATTTGGATTCACAAAACCCCATAAGTAAATTCACCTAAATGGAGTTAAGAGAACCTGTCTCATTACGTCAAGGTCTCATTACACATCTGATGTCATTTTGGATATCAGTTCTATATGCTAGCTTAAGGCAACTCTGTTAAATGTGTTCTTATGGTTTTGTTTACGTGGAGCTCAGAACTTATGAACTTTTGTAAACTTAACTTCTCTAACCCTTATACAAGCAGCCAAGGTGATTGTTGTTTGTCAAGGACTATCCAGAAGTGGCTGGGGGCACAGGAACCCTTCATCAACACCTGGGGCTTCACGACCCAAAACTGATTACAAGAAAATTAGCTATAACATGTGAAGAACAACCTTGGTAGAACAAAAATAAATAAATCTTGTACACAGAGGCTTGTATAAACAATGAAGTAGGTCTCGGGACTTTTTTTTTTTCCACGTCTCTATCTCGAGTGTTTAGGTCTCGCTCTCGGACACCCGTGGTCTCAGAATTTTGCTTGAGACCTTTCGAGACCACAAATTAATTCACTTATTTGTAACAGATATGCCTCCAGTTGTGGCAGCAGAACAAGGCTAACTTTCCATCACTATATAGTCAATCTGGCACCGACCATTGTAACTGAGCGCGTATTTAGCCGTGGGAGGGGAGGAGCAGTTGGGGGGAGGGGGAGGGGGAGGAGAGCGTGCGTTAATAATGAGGCTCCATTAATGCCTAACATAAACAAATGTACTGTGTAGCTATGTTGATATATCATGAGTATAATGAACTTACCTCGTCCTTAAATAAATAAAATACCTAGATTGAATTAACGAGGTGGTAAATAATAGATATGGCCCAAATAAAAGAAAATTAAGTATCTATTGAATTATTTATATTAACACTTATATTAGTTGGTAAATATTTTCATATGTCGATTTTGGTGTCAAAAGGCAGGTCTCGATCTCGATTTTGGTCTCGAACTTAATGATCTTGAGTGATATTTAAAAACCAAATGGTACCCAACCCTAAAAGGCTCAATTCTTGACACGCCTTTGTCATAATAGGCTCCGCTTCTAACAGACCCCAAATCTAACAGCCCCCACTTCTAATAGGCCCCACTTAATAGACCCCCACTTCTAATAGGTCCCACTTCTAATGGGGCCCTTCTAATAGGCCCCACTTCTAATAGGGACTTCTAATGCCCCCACTTCATAGGGCCCCCACTTCTAATAGGCCCCCACTTCCTAATAGGCCCCCCTTCCTAACAGGCCCCCACTTCTAGACCCCCACTTCTAACAGGCCCCCCACTTCTAATAGGCCCCACTTTTAACAGGCCCCACTTCTAATAGGCCACAATATTTACGAGTCTTTATTTCTAAATTTCCATCACAATGGTTTGGTTTGGTTAGGTTAGGTTAGGTTTGGTTAGGTTAGGTTAGGTTAAGTTTGGTTTGGTTTGGTTAGGTTAGGTTTGGTTAGGTTAGGTTAGGTTAGGTTAAGTTTGGTTTGGTTTGGTTAGGTTAGGTTAGGTTAGGTTAGAGGCGACTATCTTTTTCTCCGGTAATACAGTTACAAATTTATGTATATATGTAATGAGGTTACTTATCGCATTACCAGATATATTACAAAGGTCTTCTTCATCCTGTACCAGTAAAGGTATATATAACTCTCTGTTATTTGACACCTGTACCTGTGATGCTAATTAACCTGTATTGTCTTGCGTATTATTATTATTATTACTATTATTATTATTAACATCTCTACTACTATTAGACTACTACCACGACTACTACTACTACCACTTCCCCCTTCCCTCCTCCCCCTTCCCTCCTCCCCCTTCCCCCTTCCACCTCTCCCTTTTTCCCTCCTCCCCTTCCCTCCTCCCCTTCCCCCTTCCTCCTCCCTTCCCCCTCCTTCCCTCCACCTGACAAATTATTCACCATGTAAAATATTCACCAACTTGGCCCAACATATAAAATAAAACTTACAAACTTCGAGAATGAATAAATGATGAAGATGAAGAGGAAGAAGCCGAGGGGTGTAGGAGGAGGTCATTTTTTACATATAGGAGAGAGACCAACAGACAGACGCACAGACAAAAACTATCACTTGATTAATCTTGCCTAACCAACGGTGTCAAAATCTACAGAACTCATTATTTCTCAACCCTTCAAGTCTGTTTACGTGTGTGTGTGTGTGTGTGTGTGTGTGTGTGTGTGTGTGTGTGTGTGTGTGTGTGTGTAGACGTGATTAAAGTAATCCAATATGTCAAAACAAAGCACTGGAGACCATTTCTTAACCGTACTTAACTTGATGTGTTGAGAAGACCGGATAAGCAATGGGCAGACTCGAACATAATGCCGGCAGTGACCTATATAGTCTTCTTATAATGTTAAAATATAATAAAATAAAATAAACTACAATAGTAAAATCACTTTAAACTATATCTCGCATCATATCCTTTCCAACCACTCTATTCTTTCTTTTTCTTTATCAACAATTTTCCTTCCACTTATTTCGATTTCCTTTTGATTTTCTTGATATATATTTTGTCTTTTTTTTTTCTTAATCACTATTTTTATCAGAAGTACATCACTCGAGAATGTAGATTTGTTTAATTTTCACTAAAGCTTTTTCATCCACAGTGTACACATCATATCACACACACACACACACACGCACACACACACACACACAGACACACACACTATGTAATAAGAATAAACCCAGTATGGAGGGTGGTGGTGATAGTGGTGGTGGTGGTGGTGGTGGTGGTGATAGTGGTGGTGATAGTGGTGGTGGTGATAGTGGTGGTGATAATGTGATGATGGTGTTTATAATGTTAAGGACAACAACAATAATATGAACGATTATGTATCTTTAATAATGATGATGATGATGATAATAGAATGCAATTTGAATCTCTAATAATAGTGTGTGGGAGTGACTGGTGACTGCCAGTGTGGGGGAGTGACTGGTGACTGCCAGTGTGGGAGTGACTGGTGACTGCCAGTGTGGGAGTGACTGGTGACTGCCAGTGTGGGGAGTGACTGAGTGACTGCCAGTGTCTGGAGTGACTGGTGACTTGTCTGGTGTGGGAGTGACTGGTGACTTGTCAGTGTGGGTGTACTGGTGACTCTCAGTGTGGGAGTGACTGGTGACTTGTCAGTGTGGGAGTGACTGGTGACTTGTCAGTGTGGGGAGTGACTGGTGACTTGTCAGTGTGGGGAGTGACTGGTGACTTGTCAGTGTGGGAGTGACTAGTGACTGTCAGTGTGGGGAGTGACTGGTGACTGTCAGTGTGGGGGAGTGACTAGTGACTTGTCAGTGTGGGAGTGTGACTGGTAACTTGTCAGTGTGGGGGTGTGACTGTCAGTGGGGAGACTGGTGACAGTCAGTGTGGGGAGTGACTGGTGACTTGTCAGTGTGGGGAGTGACTGGTGACTGTCAGTGTGGGGGGTGACTGGTGACTGTCAGTGTGGGGGAGTGACTGGTGACTGTCAATGTGGGGGTGACTGACTGGTGACTGGTCAATGTGGGGGTGTGACTGGTGACTGTCACTGGGAGTGTATGGGGGAGTGACTGGTGACCGTCAGTGTGGGGGAGTGACTGGTGACTTGTCAGTGTGGGAGTGACTGGTGACTCTCAGTGTAGGGGAGTGACTGGTGAATTGTTAGTGTGGGAGTGACTGGTGACTTGTCAGTGTGGGTATTTGTGGTGGGTGGGATAGTGAGTGAGAGTTTTACAAGCTTGAGTGAAAGGCGTGGGAATAATTACTGGCACGTGGGGTAGATAATTGATAGCGTGGGAATGAGTGGAAGAGTTGGAACTGTAATGAGAGCCTGGGAATATGAGTGGGAGCGTTGGAATGGGAGCATGGGAATGGGAGCCTGGGAATGGGAACGTGAGAATGGGAGCCTAGAAACGGGAATGGGAACGTGGGAAAGTGATTGGGAGTGTGGGAAAAAATAAATGTGAATGTGGGAGAATGAGAAGTAGCGTATGAATGAAAATGGGAGAGTAGAAAAGAAGTTATTGGTGAGTGGGAATGGTGCGTAAGGACGTGGGAGAGAGAAAGTACCTGGGAGTTGCTGGGCGGAGTGGAGGTGACTACTGCCGCTGTAATACTGACTCAACAGGAGGCTGAGGAGTCCACGTGCTCACCCTGGACCTGCGCGCTCCTCTCTCTCTCTCTCTCTCTCTCTCTCTCTCTCTCTCTCTCTCTCTCTCTCTTGACACACACACTTCAAAACTGTCCCACTCATTGTATTGCAGGTTATGTAGGTAGAACACAAGACGATTATTGTAAACTACATCCACTAACACCTTCACTACGGGGACGCCAGGAGTTTTAATATTTTATTTGTCTAATACCAGACGATTTTAATTCGTTCAGAAGGGATCCCGTACTCAAGTAATTAAAAGTACGTGGACGAATCTAACGACTAGGCCATTTAGGACTTGGAGGAGGAGGGTCTATTATTTATAAAGGTTATTAGGATTAGTTGGTCTATTAAGATTCGAGATATATTAGGGTCAGAGGTCATTAAGATTGAAGACTATTTATTCTGTAACTTATGATAATTGGGGCTTATTAGTAGTATGCCTCCTATCTGAATAAATAGTTTAAGATGGAAGCTATTTTACTAGGATTTATTACTAATAGCCACAAGTAAGATAACCTCTAGTGTCTGTTAGTACTGGGGTCTATCAGAACTGGGGCCGACTTAAAAGGGGTTAGATTACCTTAGACTGAGGCCTTTTAGCCCCATGAGTACGATAACCCCCAACCCCTTGAGTACGATAATCCCAACCCCTTGAGTACGATGACATAAGCCCTTCAGTAAGACGACCCCTTGACTCATCGTACTCAAGGGGGGGTTAACTCATTGTACTCAAGGGGGGGTTAACTCATTGTACTCAAGGGGGGGTTAACTCATTGTACTCAAGGGGGGGTTAACTCATTGTACTCAAGGGGTTGTCATCGTACTCAGTGTTACGTCATCGTACTCGAGGGGTTAAGTGCAAGTTACAATCAGCCAGAAATCTACTCCAGATAAGAGATAACTAAACGTGAAACGCTTGTCAAAGGGTTATGTTATGTTGACACTTTTCTGTGTCGTCTGTGATGTGTTGTTTTATTATGAATATCTATTATCACTTTTTAATTGAATTCTTCCAGTTAGTTAGGTTTTTTTTTTCAACGAATTCGTTATAGATTATTAATAATGAAAACGAGAAAAAAGCTGAATATTTTTTTTCATCAAAGGGGATAATTTTATGCTGGGTGGTTTAAGCTGATGGACAAAAAAAAACCGCGCATTTCATTTGTATTCGAGTGAGGATAAAAAATCTTAGAGAGAGAAAGAGAGAATATTATTTAACTTGTAATGTGAAGTATGGCAGGGAGGGGACACCCGAGCAGAGAGGTTCCGGGCAGGAGTCAACTAACTGAATAATCAAGCGTAAATAATCCAACCCAGGGTAGCAGAGGGGAAGGCCAGGGGTCAACACACATAAGGATCGGTAAACAAAATTCTCCTTTAGTGTAATTTGTTTCTAAAAATTCATGAAACATAATAGTGTATGATTTTTTTTATTTGATTGAAAAATATACAATCCTGAAAAATTCATCTGTCCTCCCAAATATCTGATGACGTCATACTAAGAACCAAGAATGAGATGGTGATCAAGATAAAAGGTTTAAAAATATTACATTTCTTCTGATCAAAACATAACCTCCATTATTTGTTACCCGACGTGTGGATGATTCAGACCACAGAATGGGAAATGGACGCACGAACCTGTATCCACTATGAACCAACATGGAATTTGTATATATCTTTTTTATTTTTGTTTTGTTTTTGTTTTAGCAAGTCAACATGTTACGTATATATGAATATATTTTTTTGGGGGGAGGGTGGGGGGAATATACATAGAATTCATCACCGTGTTTAGTAACCAAGGCAACACGACAACTGAAGCATTTACATGTTTATACTTACCCGGTTGCTTTCTATGGGTCGAGGCATCTATGTCAGAAAGCAATGCTAACAAGGACGTTAATTAGTCAAAAGTAGAAGGCTTTCAAAAATGTCTTTGATGTGACAAACTGACTAGAGAGGAAAATGAGTCGCTGTATATTGTTATTGTGTGGTGATTCAAGTAAGTCTTTGGAGCTATAGTGTTATAGTGTTCTTGTTGATTGACTAAAATATCATATTATACCTCAATTTCTATCTTGTTAGTCCATTTTGGCTATGCTGTCAGCCGTCTGTCAGCCATCCGTTAGCCGTTGTAAAGGCCTGGGACTTTGGGGATAGAAATCCCTTACCAGGCTCTTTACTATAAAAATATAACACAAAACTCTGACACCACTCAACAAACATCAAATAACAATTACGGGAGTCAAACAATTAAGGCAGTCAACAGTTAATGGAGTCAAACAATTAATGGAAGCAAACAATTAAAGGGGGCAAACAATTAATGGGAGTCAGCAATTAATAGAATCAAACAATTAATGGGAGTCAACAACTGAAAGAATCAAACAATGAACAGATATTTCCTACGGTAGTGGCCCTGGGGGAAGGTTCTGGAACACGGAGATCCACACTCAGGGTAGGGAAGCGTCTATTCAACTCCACACTCGAGCGACGTCTTGAAATGGCAGACCGGGGCACAGACGGAATGAGATGAACTGACGGTCGTGGTATGGTAGTGGTAGATGACCAGAGAATTGACAGTCGATAGGTGAAGGTCTGGGGACACAGCCCACGAGTCCAGGACCTATGATGAGATCACAGCCAGAATTTGACGAACACCTGGGTAGCTAGATAGTGACTGTATGGCGGCTGAGTTGAATCTGCCAGTGACCCAGATAGAAGCTGCCGTTCTCACCTCTGTCCAACCGCCCAAGTGTCGTCCGCACCAGCAAACGAGCGAGTTAGCAGCGGTAACCAGCAGGAAGATCGTTTCCTCCCTTAGAGCAGTCCATCATCCGTCAGCCGCTGTCCATCCAGTAGCTCGTCTTTAGACTTTTCATCTTTTGTCCTGTGCTTCTCAAAAAATAATCTATCACCTAAGTCTTGAAGTAAGTTGAAAAAACCCCACTGACTATGACTTCCAAGATGGCTATTGTTATCGCACACACACACACACACACACACACACACACACACACACACACACACACATTCTTGCCAACCATAATTGAGTTAGGATGAGGTATAGCATCTGGTATTAAGATAATGGAAAGGAGAAAGAACAATGGTGTGTGTGTGTGTGTGTGTGTGTGTGTGTGTGTGTGTGTGTGTGTGTGTGTGTAAATCGTGATCCTCCAGCTGTCAGAGAATAAAAATAAATAAAAAAGGAAACCGTAGTGCGAATATAAAATTGATGAGGACATAATGGCAGGATTTCTATGTGATTGCAAAAAAAAATGAGCGAACCTAACGAGTCGATTTAGTGTATAAAATGAATAGGGGCGGGGTGAATAGTTGTTAATCGCCATGGAGACAAAGGGATTCACTTTGTATAGAGGGGGACTGTGTGTAACGTCATAGATTAACTGACAGTGTTGTTTTGGATGACAGATGGAACTAGCAGATGGACTAGCAACACGAATGATGTTCTGTCTCGTCATCAAATGTTTCACTGAGGATCTGTTGGCGTGTACTGACCTATAATTACACTCACACAGTCACGATGGATACCAGAAATGACCCCTAAGAGGCTCTAACAAACTATATTAGATCAGTTACCTTGGGGTATAAGATCAGGATATATTATTTTCAAGTGAATCTTATCCACATGACTAAACAGAGTAAAGATAACTTCAGGGAGTCCATAGTCTTAAGGTCTTCTTCAATTACGGTAAGCTTTGTGGTACAGCGGACTGACTGTAAGATTGAACTCCTGGTTTCTGTATTTTAGTCCGATGATCTTGTATTTATTTCTTCCATATTTCTAAATAATAGTAATAATAGGTGAAGGAGAGAACATAAAGAAAATGGAAGAAAAGAGAATAAAATAAATTAAGAATATTAACACAAATTAGAGAACGTGACTTTTTTTTACCTGTACAGTTATAATTAAGCCGTCGACTCCATATGGACTTACCTGGGTATGAAAAGATTATAATGTCATAAACAATAATTATCTCCCACCGTGCGCCGTGTTACTTGACAAGCCGAAGCACCGAGCTTTTGTTACATATCTCGAAGCCATTATTATTGTCATTGGATCAGCAGCATACTTCCTACCAAGGTTCATCTCCATTTACAGTAAATTAAAACTAGTGACTATGTTTTTTGTTTTCGGCCCTGACATGAGTTCTGGTCAAACAAGGCTTCGAGCTGAGTAGTTTCAGACTTTGAGTTTGTGAGGGAGATGGAGGGAGGGTGAAGGTAGTGTAGAGTAACTCTCCTGGTCACTTCTCCGTTGCCTGGGTACTGAAAGTTTTTTTTTTGTGAGACTGAAAATCTTATTTATACAAGATACACCTCAGAAACAACGAAGAATTAAATATATTTCTTGGAAGGGATGAACCTGTACCACCAAGATGGCCGAAGAGTTCAAGAGTTGCCAGTGAAGCTGTTTGATGATAGAACCTCCATGACTTAATTATTTATATTTAAAATTGTATTTATATTGTTAATTTTAATGTTAATAATAAAATTTCTTTTATTATAGCATGTTTATTTATTTATAAAAATTTAATAGATCATTATTTGTCCATTTATGGTATGAAGACTTGGAGATTTTACCACATAGAGGTAAAGAAGCGAGGAAAATACAGTATAATAAGCTTGAGAAGTCTTCACTGTCGATCTACTTCAGCTTATTCTTTCAAAGGAATGGCAGTATTGATAAGGCTAATTATAGGTGATAGAGAGGGTCAGCACTTTACTTCTTATTAGGTATAGGTCAAGAAGATCAACAATGTAATTTTAGAATTTGTTCATTTATAATTGTAGCCAGGTTTCGATTTTTCCGTAATTACGTTTTTCCAATGGGTCTTGGTGTGATTCGAACTAAGCCGACCTTCGTTTTTGGTGCTAACCTAACGTAACCTAACGTAACCTAACCTCGTCAGTACAGAAAGTGTCATAAAAGAAATTCGTCTTATTTTTATTATGTAATGTGGTTACAAACAATAAAATAACGTAATTCGAAACCTGGCTACTATCCTAAATTGACCTTGATAAGGTTAAGTATAGGTGACAGAGGGTCGGCACTGTATTTCTTGTTGGGTACAGAAGACCACCACTGTAATTTTAGAATTACGTATACAAAAATTCAAGTTGGTTATATCGTCTCCCGACTTTCCTAAAACGACAATTCAGCAGTGACTGTCAATTCGCTGAAGCGTTGAATGTACTCCGGTGGTGGCGGCGTACGGAAGGGTAAACCGAGCTTTTACGAATCTGCAAATTTTAAGTCTTGTGAAAAAAGTCATGTGTAGGTGGCGTCATTAATATAAAACATTACCTGCGATTCTGATGAGAAGCAGAACTTTTGAATTAATGGATCCTTACTGGTCTCTTTGTGGTCTGGTAAAACTTTTTTAATATTGACGGGTTTTAATATGTCTAGGTCATTTGTGAATAATTTCTCGAACATTTAATGGGCTCAGAATAGAACTGTCAACACGCGACGTGGGGATCTGCCGCTCCAGTTAAATATACACAATGACAGGCAACAAAGAATCATAAGAAAATATTAATGTTCTAAAAATAATAAGGATTTGCCTAATTTTTCCTATTTAAGCTCTGTGGTTTTACCTTGTAGCTTTTCATATCTTAACAGCACAGACCAGTGGTGGACAATCTGTGGCCCATCAGGCTTTTGAGGTGAAGTCCATGAGACCTAATGTTAGACCAGCGTCCACACATGAAAGAATCGTACAAGTAGCGTTGATCTGACCATTTATCGAAATCTGGGCAATTATTATTTTTGTGTTTTGGTGGGATTTATAGTATCATTTTATATTTCAATCATTCACTGATATTTTAATTGGTCTAACTTAATTCCTTGATATAGTACTTAAATTCACACATAAAGTAGACTGATATGGCAACACTTCATGATCAACTGTGTTCTACTGCCTGTGGTTGTGGGGCGTCGTGTTTACCTTAGATGTATTGCGAGGTAATCGTAAATAGATTCTGTACACCGCCTCCACTTTTCCAACTTCTGCAGGGTGTATTGAACGTATCTTTACTTGTTTGTTCTGCTCTTATTCGTAATTGATGACCATTTCTATCTCATTCAGTCTGTGTTGATGTTTTCATGGTTATTTGTGGGGTCGTGGGTAGTGCACATGGCAAATTATAATCTTGTGACCTACTGAGATGGAGGGCCACTCATGTCACCCCTCTCATTGACCTAGGTTGCCCTTCACTGGAGTAAACTGTTTACCCACAGCGACGTAAATAATTTATTATAAGAGAAGATAAACCAACTTGACCGACTTAACTGGACCTAACTTCCTGGGATTTAAAGGTTTTATTTGGTTATTTTAGGTAACGTTGTGTAGGTTGTATAAGGAAGGCGAACATGGGAGTCCAAGCAGCAGACACCGTATTTCCTCTTTAACGAAACCAAGGGAAACAAAACATAGACAAGTTGCAATTCATCCACCCATTTCTTTCTATTCGTCAGGTAAGAAAAGTTGTTAATATTGACGACTGACCCGCGGACGAGTTATTTGTTTTACTGTTTATTTTCTTACTTTATTTTCATCAGTGAGCTCTGACATGATAATAATATCGTGTGCAAATGCTTTGTTTGGTAGATAATTAGGCACCTAGGCGCACAATACTTTCTCTTCTCGGTAGTAATGCTGCAATGACGTCTCATCCCAGGATGTAAACAGCCACTCATATTGACGTATTTCAAAACACTCCACCGCCAGTGCTTGATCATCGCCGATGCTCAGTGTATGCTTAAGAACCGTTCTGTACGGAGGGCTGCTCTCACGGTGTAATATACCGTGGGGTCCGGAGGGGTGAGGTTAGGCAGGTTGATGAGGTCTTCTAACAAAGCTTATGCTGCTTGTTTTTCAAATCAACTAAGTTTAGGTTAGGTTTAATTTAGAAATAACCACTTTTAACATATTTGCACAAACTACGAATGTCCACTATATAACAGTGACATTAAGGCGCGGGTAAGTCATCAACAATTACCGAGAAGTTTTCAATATAACATTTCCGTAAGTGGCTCCTAGTATTGTATACTGTATTACTGGACGTGTTTATAAGCTTTGATGTTGGTGGTTATGTCCAGTATTTTTAATTTGAAGAATTTTTAATATGAATTTTTATGCAATAGGTATTCATTATTGTTCTATGAATTTAGCCATTTTATTTTAATGAGTATATAAATATTCCAGTGGGATTTTAAAATATTTTTGAAGGGTTTAACACCTTGAGGGTTATTGCATCCTTCTGATCTTTAATTTAACTTTTAATGGCCATTTGTACCAGTATATACGAAAAAAAGTCTAGGTTCTGACACTTCTAGCTGGATGTACAGTAAGTTATTTCAAAACACGTTCCACCACAAACTTTAAAAAAAGAAGTGGTCTTGAGGGCGCCGCAGCCTCTTAAAGCTGAAGGGTAGAGTCTGCCCTCCATATTTGCTGGGCGGTCAGACCTTCATTTGGTTGTTTGGTTTTCTCCCCGGACATTCTTGTCACCTCCGCCCGCCATCGTCAAGCCACATCAGATTTATCCAGTTTGGTAAGTGTTGACGTCATGGGTTACTAGATAACACCACCGAGTTAGTGATGAATGTTGTTTTATTATTACTGAAAACTTTGTCATATACTTTACTTTACTTTACCCGTCTGGGATATAAGTTTACTCACTGGGGATCCGCTGCTCAATCCCGTCCTTTCGTTCCATAATATTTGTTCACCGGGGTCTCGACTGTTCTCCTACTCTTCCCATGGCCGTTGGGTAGTAACTCAGTCATCAACTCAACTTTTAACATAGCTTATAATTTTTTGGGAATTGTGATTTGTAAAATCTCCTGAGAATAAAGTTCAAGAGACTCTTCACAACTGCTTAGTCATGGTTAGTTACCACCACTGGAGTCCTTGAGAACAAACCACCGGATACTACTAGGCCAACAAGGTACTGACGATGACCAGGTCAGAGATGTAGGAACTAGAGACCAGTTTTTCAGGTCTTGATCTGGAGTACCTGAACATGACCAATGAGCCTGATGTAATATATAGGGTCCCATAATTATATCATGAAATCAAAAACTATATAAATCATTTGGTAGTTGACATACACATACGACCATTCGAGTAGGTAAATATTTCCATGTTTTAAGATACCACCGACCCTCCATCATCCATAGATTTCAACCTTTCAAAAATATGTATACTGGTATGAGCCGAGACTCAAATATTTAACTAAATAAATTATCCCTATAAACTCGTCTTATGAACCGGCTTATAAATAAATCGCGGTCACCTGAAGATCAGCTCCCCAGTTTAATACCCCTGAAGTTTAACCACCCCAACGCTACCAAGAGGATGCTAATCTACAGGGGACGGTGGACCTAAGTAATCATCTTAAGATTGGTCCCTTGCTTAACCCACCTAAAGCTTAACCACCACAACACAAAAGACTGCACTGTAAGGTTACTGAATTATGGATCTCGGCGGTACCACTGAATGTACAGTATATTGGGAAGATGATGGGCAGCATCTATTGCTTGAACTATTTCCATAGAGCCAGTTGTTGGATTGATGCTTTTATCTACTATACCCATGAGCCGTCTGTGTGTGGCTTCTTCCCGCTGATGCTTCGGTTTATGAGAAAGTAAGATTTATTTATTTGTTTGAAAACACCTCGTGTACGATTCTTAAAACCAAAATGATAATCAAATCATCGCTTTATTAGAAAGGTTTACATGGCAGCTTGTTTCGTTGAAGAGTTCACTCCAGACATACAGTATTGCATGGACCCAAGATACTAAGAAAAAAAAACATTTCAGATTATTTTGTGAGTGACGCGGCCGATTAGATTTTATTACTTTTTTTAATATAGTCACTAAAGTCAGCAAAGGTCATTGATCCACATCAGGGCCTGGGGGGCGAAAATGAAATAATAATAATAATAATAATAATAATAATAATAATAATAATAATAATAATAATAATAATATAAAGAAATACAAAAAAAAAAAGATCAAAGGCGAGAAATATATGTATGAACGTATGTTGTGTTGTCAATAGTAAGAGAAACAATTTAGACCATGCAATTTTGTGTAAATGAGGCAGAAAGTCAGGTCAGCAACCTGAGACTTGGTCACAATTTCATGTTGCCATATGGCAGCAGGGTCTACCATTTGACAACACAGTATGCTTCCGATATCTTCCCAGACGGTAGTACCTCCCTGTTTGGTTATCGGATAAGATCAGCTGTCTAATCATCATTACAAAGCAGAAATGAGAGGGAGACCTGTGGGGGGAGGCGTGGAGGGTATACTATGATATAACCAGGCAACCTGCTAGCCAAGATCTCAGTGAAGATTGGCAGTGCGTGAGGCAACATCACTCGGGCAAACTGTTAACACCACCTCACTCTGACAAACTGGAGTGCCTATTCTTCACGTGATCCAAGTATTCTTCCAGAGGTTCGATACTCTCCAGGACACTAAACTGATTCATCAGGTAACAAAGCAGATTCACAATGTGACTAAGCTGATTTATCAGGTAAATAAGCTGAATCACCAGGTTACTAATCTGACTCACCCAGTAACTAAGCTGATAACCGTTTCAGAGCTGGTGACTGGAGACTCCAATATGGCGTGGCTAAGGGAACAAATGATGCTTTATTTACCAAACTTGGTGACTTATATTTCCTTCACCGCCTTCATCGTGCTTTCACTGACGTTGTTCTTCAAAAGGCAGCAGAAGGTGAGTACCTGGTGATTAAGGGGTTTACTGTATGACTTTGGAACGAAATGGCTACCCATGGTATATACAGTACAGTCGACCTGAGGCGGTAACACGACTTTGGCTATCTCATGACGGCGTTGCTCTTGACCACTCGACAATCTAATACCTGAAATGTGTAGTCTTGGGGTTCACTGGTTCATGAAACACTTACACTTGAACCTTTGTGAGAACATTACTTTTGAACTAAAAGTAAATTTCATCTGATTTCTATTGTTTATATGCATTACACGAATCATAAGGAAAGAAGACCTCTGGGCCTCACTCCGTATTTCATAAATTCTATGTCAAGTTTGTCAATAGTAATGTAAACAATTAGAGATATGGTTAATCTGCATGGCATTAATATGTAAATCTTAAAGTAATAATCATGAACTAAATCACCTGAAGTACTCGGTGACTATGCAGTTCAACGTCTTTCTTCTCTGCTCCACTCATTACTGTTCTAGAATGATTTACCTTCAGTTTCATATATACATATACAGTACAGGGGTATATATATCGCTATACTAAGTTCTCTTTCTTGTAATTTTTAAATCGTGATTGACTAGTACTGTTACTAACCTTGTTACGCACTTAAAGAACTTAGATGTTGAAGCTCAGTAATAACATTATAAGGCTCCAGTATCTAACACAACTTATCTTCTTAGAAATTTATAGAGTTTAAAGTATTATATTTAAAGTTAATTTTATCTTATTACTTTAGGAACAACATTACAGTTACTACATACAGTATACAACTACAGGTGAGAAGTTCAAACTGATAATAGACCACAGACACTACTCACTACCCAGGGCTACTGACATTACATTGCCCACACAGAGAGTAAGAATACGCTTTTAGCAAAACAAATTGCACGTACAGTAGTTGTCGTTGGATTGACTTGAGTTTGTAGAGTTCCCTGAAGGAGACCTTGTTCTTATCACCAGGCAGTACATAGAGTGAAGACTTGTATGAACTCTTCCAACAATACTTTGTCTTGTGTTGTCATATACCGACATTCATTTGACAAACTTAATTTTTACATAATCTTTTATTTGTGTTATTGTACAAATGGCCATAATAAGTGGTGGTGTTGGCCGGCAGGTGTGGATGTTGGATAAGATCCCTGGTCCAAGAGGACTCCCACTACTGGGCAGTGTTCTCTACCTTAACACGGTCGACCTCTGTGGTGAGTCCTGTCCTCTTGTGTTCCATATTTGTAAACTATTCATTGTAATCATGCTCTTCAGTACAAAAATCCAAAGTTATTATATGGACATAGTCAGTCTTAAGTGCGAGTTAGTAGCGACACCCGATCACCCAAAGGAAAAGTTGAAGCTAGAAAGGGAGAAATGAGATCAACCTCACCAGAAAAGGATTCAAGGTATGATTAGTGTTCTGCACTGTACTTCGTTTTAGCTTTTATTATGAAAAGAAAATATACGAACAACGCACACAGGAGCTAGATGCTTCAGAAACCCAACATTAGGCAAGACAGCGAAGCCAGATTAAACCCACGTCAATTTGTGTAAAGTCGACACTGGATCAGGAAAAATCCCGCTCCTGATCAAAGTGTAGACAGTCTCGGTTGATGATCAGTTTTCAAAATATTATTTTTAATACATTTAGGTTCTACGTTAATTGATTGTCCTAGAACTATCAAATAAGTTTGATTTTTGTCACAACTGAACCTGAGAATAATGTGAATTTTTTTATCCAATTCGCAGAATCATTTGCAAGAGTAGTAAAAATCTGTAAGATTGGTCCAGTAGTGAAATTTTGGGCTTATAACACGCCTCGCTGCTTGTTGAGTGGCGCCAAAGCTGTCGAGGTAAGTAATACCAATTTGTAAAATTTTTTGTTCAATCGATTTATAATTCATAGGATCACATATTAAAAGTTAACCTGCAGAATCTTTGGAAAAATTTTGTATGTCACTTTTCCCCTGGCTGGTGCTAAGTGAACATATCCAGTTTAGGCGCTCAAGGGTGTCAACCATAAATTGGATTGCGATGATGACGTTCTCTTACTCAGACACTTTACAATTTACAGAGTCTCTTGACCAGCCAGAAAAACCTTGACAAGGGCTTGATGTACAATTTTCTCCGACCTTGGCTCGGCGAGGGTCTCTTGACTTCTGCAGGTAAGATCAAGTTGTTGTTTTCATATGACGAACACTTTTCTGATATCGAATTAGTGATAATGATAGTAAGTTAACGAGTAGTGCTCCACACTTGGGCCATATTAAGTAGAATGTTTCGATTAATCAAGGTGTTTCTGAGAACGTGGCGAGAAAATATACTTGTGAACTTACATGTGGCGCAGACACTGGCCGCAGACTGACAACTAAGGCTTAACGTATCTGTGCTTACCAATTTAATGTTGGTACAGGCAGTCGCTGGCAGACCCATCGTAAGCTGTTGACTCCGGCCTTCCACTTCAAGATCCTGGAAGAGTTTATGGGTGTGTTCAACAGCCAGGGAAACAAGTTGGTCCAGAAGCTACACAAGAAGGCTGACGGCCAACCCTTCGACATCTTCTCTGATATTACTCTTTGTGTGCTCGATATCCTGTGTGGTGAGTGTGTGGTCTGAGTTAATTACCTAATTCCTTATTTACTTATCCTCTTAGTCACTTTTCAGCTGGCTAAACTTAAGACATGCATACATACATACATACATTAAATTCGCCATACCAGTTCACATTAGCTTAGCATGTACGGTACAGTCACAATATGCGACACCGGACCAAGAATTCTGAACAACACCCATTTACGCGGGTGATTCCTGTTAATTTCTCTTTATTAGCTATGTGATATACAAAATACATCATACTGGTTATACAGTGCATCACACAACTAGAAATACCAACCTTACCAAATTAACATGGCCTCAGTGATCGTTGCAGAAGCCATTAGACCAAGGGGTGGAGATTTTTTTTTGCTGATTGTGCATAGGAATTGCAGATATACAGTACAATGCATATATCGCAGGTATACAATGTACAGGCCGTAAAGAAGTATCGTTAGGTTTTCCGTCACTACAGTTTGCAACTCTAGACGAAATGCTTTGATGTGTTCTCCAGTGCATCATCATAAGTTGTTACGCCTGCTGGCCATAACATCAACAACTTGAGACTGGGGGAGGGCATCATCCCTTCATGGCGTACAGTGCTAAGATATTTCAATATAACAAGAAATCCGTTAAGCTATATTAATGTGTGTATCGTGTTGTGCTGGGTAGAAGCAAAGCATATGTAAATAAGCCACTGACGGATGATTGCAATCACACTGAAATATACATTAAAGGGAAGCGTTTCGGAACATCATAGCTGAGGCTGAGACAGACCTCAAAACGGACATTTCACCATTACGTCGTTGTCGTAAAGGAGTTTCATTCATACTGAGTTTCACAATATACAGTACCTACTAATATTATTCACGATATGTCTGATGTATGAATTGACTCAGCAAATAGTATTTAATCTTAGTGAACGGATACAGCAATATACAATATATCGGTAATGATAGCACCTCTCACATCTTGCTATGTCTCGCTGAAAATTACTCGCTCCATTCGATATAAGATCCCGTTGATGACTCGCATGGTGTTGGTGTACATTTACGACATCCACTCCAATTCGTGCAATAGATTTTTTATGATCTGAAGCCTCGAAGGATTCGCATCATTCGAAAACATATTCATGCTCAAAGGTCGCGAACGTAGAACTACCAACCGTTTAGAAACAGGTCAAGTAACAATGCTCTGAAAGCCTCGAATCTCATAGACCTCGTTACTTCTGGGGGGGGGGAGGTGACTGTACATAGGTAAGTAGGTATACAAACACTACACCTCGAAAGTTCGGGTATGCAAGCACTGTACATAGAAGATGCAGATATACAATGTTCATAGACAGTGCAGGTATATAAACAATGTACATATATATAGTGCATGTTTACAAACAATGTATATATACAGTGCAGGTATACAAACAACGTACAGTCGGCAAAGATAGTTCACGAACGCTCTAAGGGTCATACAATATGACAAAACGAACAACTGTACATAGACGATACAGGTGTACACCCACTAAAGATTATTCGGCACCCGTGTCATATTGTATCACGCCGTAAGGGTGCCGAATATTTTTTTAGTGGGCTGTACATGTATGTATCGTGCATGTATACATGTGTGTGTGTGGGGGGGTCATTATAAAATGACCTGTGCCCGTGTGGCCTAATGCTGGTAAAAAAAAATGCTTTAAGGATAACAAGAATGTAGTTGTGATTAAGGGTGAGTTGAGGACACTGACCCATATTCCTGGCTGAGTTGTGTACAGTACAGTGCAGTACAGTACAGTATACTTGTTTATCTTCAGAGTCCGCGATGGGACGGTCTGTCAACGCTCAGGATTCCGATGAGTCGGACTTCATTAAAGCTGTCTTCGGGTAACATTGTTAACTTAACTCTGTCCTTTTTTACCAGAAGACAAACGTAGGTCATTTTTTTGTAAACATTATCTAAGGACATATCTGGACTGTGTTTGTTAGGACATTTTCCATGTGCCTAAATATCATGTAATCATGTGCTGATCATTTAAGAATATAACCCTTCATTCTAAGTATGGATTTATTTTGGATATACATTCAGACTCATTCAGACGAATAAAACGAGTTGATACGCTTAATGGATCAACGTTCATTACGGACGCTCACTCGGCTCTTATCTTGCTACAGGATGGGAAGAATAATTAAGTACCGGAAGTTTCGTCCTTGGTTGCACTGGAACTTTATGTTCTGGTTACTGGGGCACGCCAAGCAGATGGACGCTCACTTAAAGGTCCTCCACGACATGTCCTACAGCACCATCAAGGAGCGCAGGAAGGCCCGCCTCAACACCAACACGGCGCACCACGACCAGGAAGTGTTAGGCAAGTAGTTGTGAGTTACTGACTATAACACATATTTGTTCATAGCGGAGTGGATAACCGGTATAATCATACATATGTTCATACAAGTATGAGATTTGGTATGAACGTTTAATATGGGTTACATTTCAAATCTACCCGATTGGACATTAAAAATTCCCAGATGGTTGCCAAATTTGCCTACCCGAAAACATTTTTTACATATGAGTTTATTATTGGGTAATCTGTGCACATAAGGTGTCTATTCCTTTGTTTTAAAGAATGCTAGAACGGATTGTGATTGTTTGGAACCCTCAGATAGTCTTTTATGCATAAAGTAACGGCTCTGCACATACTTTTACCCCTATTTATAAAACATAAGTGTAAGCCATTCTTAGTTAAACAATGAGAAACCTGTTTATATCCTGCTTATATCCTTGGGAGATACTGTTATAATAATTATTTCCTGTGTAAATGCATCCACATAGAGCTGTGCAAGTGAGACCGGAGCGGATACATTTACATCACTGTCCACAGTCGTTCTTGAAAGAACACTTGGTCAGTTCTAGGCAGCTCGCTGCTATTGGTGGAAGGTCTGTCCAGTGTATTTGCCACATATCTCCTTTGTTTTTCCAGACCCAGTTAGCAGGACTTGGAATGTCTGGTTGAACTTTTGTTGCCTGACCCCAAATCATTCCACCTTGATAGGCTGCACGCTTTACATGTTCCTTTAGGGCAGCCCGTGTTGGTGGAGTTGCCTTATATGATCTTTGTTTGCGAGCAGATAATTCAAGCACTGCACCATTGATAATTAAAGCTGGACTAGACCTGTCATACATCACAGCCACAAACCTTTCTCAGACGCGGAGGTCTTCTTCACTCACTGATGTTGGACACTGACTGAGTTTGGTGAAGGTTCTGGAGACCTCGTAAACACATTCTATGTTTGCCACGCAGTCATTTTCCCTTTACCACGGAAGGCTGACACAACATCACAACCACTGAATGTATGGAAAAATGTGATTCCAGTGGCTTTTTCAAACCTTATGGCTACAACTAACTCATGAACAGAAAACCATCTTATATAAGCCCCTTTGACCATAAGAAATCCACATTTCATAAAGACCAATTTCTCCCACTGATGTAAACACAGATGTAGCTATGGCAATGATATGTGTCATTGGCTTTTATGAGAACTTTTACTGCCTTCCAACACAGGTTCGTCTTGCATGAACGCTACAAAGAGGCGAGTATCTGGCTCTTCATGGGAGCATAGAGTTAACTTTTCTAGAGGTGTATCATGGTTCCTAATGGCATCTCCTTTTTTTTTTACAATGACTGTGCACGGTGTAACAATTTCTCACATCTTGTCCGCAAGGGAGTGAAAAAGTTCAGTCTTATTGTCATCTCTTATAAAGCTTCTCCAATTTGCTGGAGCTTTATTAGTTTGTCTCCCTTCGTCTGATACTTTGACCTCGTTTTGCCCTTTTTATAGACCTCAAACACAACATCCACCCAATTATATTTGGTACAGCAAGATCCCAGTTTTGGAAGAACAACTTCACTGAAATTAATCATAGCTGAACCATCTATTATTATGATGTCAACAGCTGGTTCTGTGTCTAGTTAAGTCACACCAGCTTCTAGAATTTCAACTAGCTGAGACTTTTGACAGGTCACTAAATCACAGTATCACTTACAACAGAAGGGAGAAAACTCATCTGAAAAACAGTTCCCTCATTCTCTGGTTTCAATAAGTGACACAAACATTAAAAAACAATACTATCAAAATTATTTTAGAAATATTAACTACACACAGCAAGACAACCTCAGTAACTGAAAATATAGTATTAACTACACACAAAAATATTATCACTATTATTAAGAAGTTACTGAGTCCACCAATACCCGTGAACCATGCTTCCTAACCTAACACGTAGATTCCACCTGCACTCCGTAGTTTTTTAAGGCACAACCAACAGGCACCCGTAGTTTAAGGCCCAAACCAGCCTTTCTCAACCTTGGAAAATGTACCTCTAAGTTCCACTAGACTCCTGGCCCCAGTGTGTGGCCCTGTATCACTCAGCTGGCTTCACTTTATCCCCAGTACATCCATGAAACGGAAAGGAGTGAGCCAATCAGACCTTGTACAGTTGAGAGAAGCTTTAGCTTCCCGTTAGTAAAATGTTTTCACTAAGCTGCTTGAAGATATGTGGTATTGTGAGTCGAGGTAGAGGAGAGCTGATGACCCCAAACAATCGTCACGTCGTTAGTTGGGCACCCAGACAGTTGGTTTCACTCCAACTCTCACCATACTCAACAGGTGGCTAAAACCCAGGTCGGTCATACAGCTCACTTCACCACTCGTTTCATACCGCCAGTGGACGTTATCATACCGTAGACATTTCACACAGCGTGGGCTCTACAGAACCCTGAAAAAAACCCGAGCTGTTAGCTATTGTCTCACATCACCGTTTGTTCCTACCGTCCTATCTAGCTTTGTCTGAGATTGAATAAAACTTACTTGTTAATACTGATGTTAAATAAACGAAGGAACCAGTTCACGCTGTCCGTCTCTCCTGGGTACAGAACAGAGATGGTCCTCTAGCTTGACCTCTCTCACAACTCCCAAGCCACGCTTGCTCACTGGTTCACGCTTTTCAGGAGTGACTTATTTACCAGACGATTAACAGCTTAATTAGGACGTACGCAACATTTTCAGACTGGGAAACGATCTATAATAATACCAAATTCAATAATAGTCCCTTAACTTAATGAATCGCATCCATATTAATTCGGTAAATTACATTTAATATCGTATAGGCCTAGTTCCAGAAACTCTCACTACGTGCGGGAGCGCTGTCTTCCCTCAGACGACCTTGAACTCAGTATCGCCAATGGCAAGGTGTTTAAAATTATCACACTGAAATTTCTGACTATTACTTATATATTAATCTTTACTATGAGTTTCGTACTTTGCTGAGATTCACAACAGTGTTGTCACCAGTGTGCCCTGGTAGTACATTGACATTCACTCTTTATAAGCATGTTTCCTTTGAATGCTATCCATTTCAGAGTTTTCAACACAAAATTCAGAGTCTACCTACTCAAAAACATGGAAATTAACACTGAAATCACCTAAATTGATGAACTTAATATTGTTTATGCCAAAAAGAAAAAAATCTGACATCCACATCTGGAGGCCATCTTGGAAAATGACCGCCATTTTGAATTTTAAATGTTCATTCAGATATATCTGATAATAATTAACCCACATTGAATCTTCATGCCAATTTTCATACTTGAATCACCATTTGCAAGATTCCCTCAACAATTGACACCTAGCCGCTCCGCTGTCAAGGGTTATTTATTGAAATCCTTCAGTAATGTTGGATTAAAAAGTTTATATGATGAATAATTTTTTGACATGCTTGAGGTGCCGAAATTCTTGTAATCTGTTACTAATGGGGTGTGTGTGTGTGTGTGTCGTCGTCATGACACACATTTGTTTATCCTCGTTGGTGTCTCATTGCCCCAGGTGTTATTCTCATAGTTCTGAAGGTTTCATAATCTTATCTTAAATAAATCCTAATCAACACTATTATACACTTATTTGACGAGTGGATTCAGCGTTTACCTGTTCCGAGGGTCGTAGAAGCTACCTTGGGGAACTCCCAATCCACCCAGCTGAATATGCACCACAAAGGGTAGTACTGTGTAGGGATACACACTTTTGATCTAACCCAATTTAAGCTTAGCTACCTTAACTTAACTTAGTCTAAGGTAACCTACCTTATAATCTAACAATACATGATTGTATCGACCAGCAGGCAAGAAAAACCGGCTGGTGTTCCTAGACTTGTTACTGGAATATGCGGATAAGACGCCCGGTATCACAGACGAGGACATCAGGCAGGAGGTGGACACGTTCCTGTTCGCCGGACACGACACCACCGCCTCCGCCATCAACTGGGCTCTCTATCTCTTGGGGCATCACCCAGAGATCCAGGTGGGTCATGTCGCAACAGAAGAGCAAGTCGGGTAAATCGAATAAATCAAAACTATTTCCTCTTAATGAGTGAGTGAGTGAATCAGTGGCCATGTGACGTACAGAGCAGCTAAGAACCGAAATGTAAAGTCGGAGAACGTACTGTATGTCAATTATTGATTATAACCCCCCCAAAAGCGTATTCTTGGAGAGGGTTGAACGATGTTCTTCTAAGATTATTTTTTCATAATATGTACTGGTGAAGCATTAGCTTCATGTCACCGCGGCATCATTGAACTTGTTCTAAGGAATTCACATATCAACAAACGTAATGACACCCTTAGAAAACAATAGTAACAAAAATTCACAACTCAATAGTAAGAGAAACAATTGAGACCCTGCAATTGTGTGTAAATGAGGCAGAAAGTCAGATCAGCAACCTGGGGCTTGGTCACAATTTTCGTGATGCCATATGGCAGCAGGGTCTACCATTAGACAACACATTATGCTTCCAATATCTTCCCAAGCTGTAGTACCTTCCTGTTTGGTAGCTGCTTACTGTGTTTTCAGCCTAATTTAATTTTTAATTCATCCGTTGTGCTCTTTTCTTGATTTAACTGATAGTGGTTCTCGCTCGCGAGGGATGTTTTTAACATAAATGGCCTAACGTAACCAACGACCAGTTCTCCCTATCTTGTAAAATTATGATATTTTTCTTTAATTAACTTTATTGGTGGATAACAACCACTTGATAGAGTACAACCTCTTGATAGAGTACAACCTCTTGATAGAGTACAACCTCTTGATAGAGTACAACCTCTTGATAGAGTACAACCTCTTGATAGAGTACAACCTCTTGATAGAGTAAATAACAAGAGTGGATCTTCACCAGGCTCGGGTACAGGAGGAGCTGGACGGAATCTTCGGGGACAGTGACCGGCCTGTGACTATGGCAGACCTCCGGGAGATGAAGTACTTGGAGAACTGCATCAAAGAGACCCTCAGGATGTATCCTCCTGTGTCCAGCTTCTCTAGAGTTCTTACCGAAGATCTTGTCATAGGTAAGCAGAACCGGATCACAAGATTAGGCAATCCAACTTTTTTCACCTGATGATTAAACACCCTAACACTACAGGGGGGGTGGAGTGTGTTATGTCATAGGTTCGGTTAGGTTGCCTTTAGGGCGTTTAAATCCTCAGATGGAATAAGTTGGAAGAGTTAATCTTCATATGATCTACAGACCTTTATATTTTTTCACTAAAGCAGTCGAAGTATTATCCTTTGTAAATATAAGCCCTACACTTCTACAAAGACAATTTCTCTTTCGACGAATATATTACCAGAAAATACTACACTAAAAAAATTATTATTATTTTTTTTTTATCTACAATGACAAACGTTTTTAAGGATATATGATTATCAATAAACTCTTACAGAATAAGGGTACTGTCTAGTGTCCTTCTCTAAACCCGCATGAAAGGATATATCAAGGTGAAGAGAAATCCTATGAAAATAACTCGGCAGTGATCTTCCTCACAGTAGCGTTTCCACTCTTTAACGAACTCCTTGACACCTAAAATGCTCTTATTCTGACTCAAAAATAGCTCCAAAAACAATGAAGTGGATCCTGCCTTCCCATAGCGGGCCCAGGACTGCTTAGCATGTGCTGATTGGCTGTGAAAAAGAAGTAGGAGTGTAATACGGCGTTCATAAGCCAGCTCTGCATATTCGAACATGAAGCGGTTTAAATCTCTTCCCTTATCCCATATATCTTTCTCTCCCTTCTTACTTAATTTTCTCCGTGTACAGGCATACAGTAAAGTGACTTAGGTTATACATGATTAGATGTTACATGTTTAGTCATTAAATTACCAACATCATACTTCCATCTTCTCTTCGCCAAGTATAGCACATGCAAGTAATCAATTTACAAATATCTGACAACTTTAAGGAGCAGTTATTCCAAATATCCCAATAAAAAATTTCTAGTAGAATACTATTTATGACTTTATATAAGTTATTTAAAGAAAAGTTGATGGTTATTGACGTTTCGGAACACTGTTTTATTCCAAGCATTTAGTAAAGAATGAATTGAAGGTATTTAGAGACAAGGAAAAAAAGTTACCCCCTGGCGATAATGTACTGTAGGCTATACCATTTGCAACATAAATTATATTGTGGACAACAATATACCCAACCATGTATGAAGAAGGGCATTATGGACAATATACCCGACCATCAGTACCATGTTCAAAATCTGGGTACTTTAAATATCAAGGGTAAATTACAGTAAATATGCCCTTTATCACTTGAAATGCCCTTTTTTATATCTAAAATTTTTAGTGTATTTATCTACCCCAGCAGGAAGAACAGAGTAGAACAAATGCCACAGTACACAAATGTAAACATCATATAACTCTCCTCTCACAGACAACTTCCTCATTCCCGCTGGCACCACCGTCTCCGTCATGTCTTACAGCCTGCACCGTGACCCTGAGCAGTTCCCAGACCCAGAGAAATTTGACCCTGACCGCTTCCTGCCCGAGAACGCCAGAAAGCGTCACCCCTTCGCTTATGTGCCGTTCAGTGCCGGGCCCAGGAACTGCATTGGTGAGTGTCATGAATGTTGTCTTTACAACTCATAATAATTGATTCTATTGCTTTATGTTCATATCATATATATCAATGTAATATTTAACGGGGGCATCTTAATTATACTGTGTGTATGTCATGTTTGCCTCCATTACCCGTCCACTCGATCCACCAGGCCAAAAGTTCGCCATGATGGAACTGAAGGTGGTGTTGAGCAAGATCCTGCGAACCTTCCTTGTGGAGAGCGTCGTTTCCCGGGAGAAACTCAGGATCTATGAGCAGCTTATCCTGAAACCTGAAGGCGGTAACTTCTTAAGGCTGTTCCCTCGTGTAGGTGGTGGTGACCCAAGGCCGTAAAGAGCTTACATTATTCCAACAAGGCCAGAATCTACCTAATTGTAATACAATGGTTGTACTCCTTAGCAGTTATCACATTTCTTTTAAGATCACATGCAACTTTAGACACACTAGCACAGTGATTCCCAGCCTGGATGGTAGCGCCCCCAGTGGGCGTTTTATTAATTACGGGGGCGGCAAACTCATATGAGGGCGGCAAGAGGCCCTAAGAAAATTTTGTGAACCTAAATTTAAAAACGTTCAAACAGAATTTATTTTTTTTAACAACGCTGATATGTTTATCACCTTTGCATCTGTTGACCTCTGTTGACTACTTTATTATGTGAAGTCTTAAGAATGTATCGTAACGACCTTTGACTGCTTCCTGGTGTAATGATTGATTGTCAGACCAAAGCTTACAGCCCAGAATTATGTCACATATAACAACAAGTACACCACAGACCTCGTGGTACCACCACATTCCGGGTTGACACACCTCAGGTCGACCCAAGGGACTTGACCTCGCCCGCTAATGACGTGAGCCGGTGACCTACAACCGCACCTAGCCAAGACACCTGGCCAGGACCACACCTGCACACAACTATTCAGATCAAACCAGTTTAGTGTTAATTGTTAGAGGTCAGAAGCCGGCTGGGCCGACCCCATATAAAGGCCCTACAGTCCCGTCCACGGGCATTCGATTCGATTACGATTATCATTCTGATCCTGGTCATACTGATTCTCATTCTGGTTGCTGTCATCTCTCTCCCGTTCGGGTCGTCACTCGGTTCACTAAGCAGAGTCACGCACGTCCCCTCCCCAGGTCGGGAGGGAGACCTCCCGACCAGACCACGGCATCGCCAGCTAAGCAGACTCTCCCATAGGAGGCAGCCCAGCCAGCACTCACTGGGCCTACGTCAGGGTACACGTGAGTCTTGTCAGAACGTCCTAGGGTGAGTTACCTACTGTGGGAAGTGTATTCATTCAGGTGTGTCCGAGAGTCAGTGTCAAGTAACGTAAAGCATAATGTGTTAGTACCCCGATATAATAGTGATATTAATGTGTCCATGTCATTGAGTGAATTAATAAATAGTTGTATCGAAGAGGTGTTTAACAAGTTGTCCCTTTAAGAAGTAATATACGTGTATTGACATACGAGATAAGATAAGCGTAGTGACGCTGTGCAAACAATATCCAGGCCACGCTACCAAGTTTCCTAGCTTTACATTCCTACTCTCTATACTTCCTACCTATATATGTAATTCTCTTCTTGTGAGATTCGTCTCATTACACTGGTGATAAGACACGTATACTGTACGTGTCGCCTTCACTAACCTCGCATTGCCTCAAGGTACAGTATACTGTACATTACACCCCGACGTGCTCCTTATTATCATCTATATCATATTTTCATCGAGTATCCTTGTAGCCTAACCAAATACAATTACACGTATAGAACTCCAAACTTACTACAAAACTACTATATCTCTTCACTACTCTTCAACATCATCACCTACAACATCTACTTTGAGGTCATCATGATATTGTACTTACAGCGGTCATGATTCTGCTTATCAACTCGGACTTATCATAGATACGACTACTTATTCAGTGATTTTTACTTATAGATTATAGAGGTTGCCCTAGTTCTTGAAAGTCACCTGGAGATTAGATAATTCTGCTTATTACAGCTTAACGCTATCATGTGCAGGGTTAAGTTAGAATTTGTTAGGGTAGGTCAGCTTCCATTCCTGTTTAAATTAGCCGAGGGTGTGCTGTGCATGCTTTAATTAATGCATAATTCTCATTGTTTATTTTACACGTTAAGTTATGCTTACTTTTGTAAATATAAATTTATTCAGGGAATTAATAGTACTAATGTTAATGAGTGTAGTGGTGGTATAGCATTATTCTTGATTCTGGTTGTTTTATTTACCTGTTGTCCCAAGAGAATAATATAATATTGTATTTATAAACTGTAATGATGAATAATAACAAATATACATCTCTCAGCATGATGGTCTATCGGTTTATATATCCAGTGTTTAAACCCACGTGAAGCTAGGTTTAGGACATCCTGACACAGTACCTGCTGATAAAACTGGTCTACTCGTCCAGAAATTTTCATTAAACCAACTAGAAATAGGTGCAGGCATCTCAAACATAATGGGAAGTTTGCTTTATTTTCCTAGCTGCTTGGGCGCTCGGTCACGTCACTGCTATACGCACTCTTAACATGTATTGGTTCCAGAATGTATCTGTACCTGCGCCAGTGTTCTTTAAGTTTGGTCTTGAATGAGCTCATACTCGGAGCCGTCACAACCCTCACTCCCAAAAAGTTTGCCCTGACAGTTTTTTTTAAACTTGTGGCTTGCCTGTCGTGTTTTTAAGCTACTAACAATAACACCGTACAGGTTCGAAAACAAGCACACACGAAACTTGACGGGTGTACTAGTCCAGGCGGAATGTAACTCTTAATATATTTATTGACAAACTTTTAATTTTATTCCTATAGGTCTAGATATATATCATTACTGATTCGTAACCAAACCTAAGCTAAGGACTCTATCCATTTGATAGTTTTGTCGGGTATCCTAAGTCAAATTTCCGTAATGATTACTATAATTGTATACCTACACCGCTTAGGCTTACATTCATTAGAGAGGCGTAGAGTTAGGGGAGATATGATAGAGGTGTACAAGTGGGTAAGTGGGATTAACGAGGGTAAAATGGAAGATGTTCTGAAGCTCAGTAATAACGAAATAGCTAGAACAAATGGCTTTAAATTAGATAAATTCCGATTCAGAAAGGATATAGGCAAGCACTGGTTTGGTAATAGAGTTGTGGATATGTGGAATAGACTACCGAGTGCTATAGTAGGATCGGGGACGCTAGGGAGCTTCAAGACGAAGTTGGATAGGCACATGGAAGTGCTGGGATGGGTGTGAAAGGGATCTGCTCTGTATGGGCCAGTCGGCCTCCTGCAGTATCCCACTTTCTTATGTTCTTATGTTCTTATGAACAGTGTATGTTTTGTGCAGTACGTACAGTATACACCTGTGTTGTATACACTTGCTGAATTGTATACATACGCTTTCTATAACCATGCCAAACCATTTCTGTTTTAGTTTAACAAATTTATTGACAAAGCTTGGAGTGAGTACAGTTTGCCTATTCTGAGTAATTCAGTCAGGTCTTGACACTGAGGGTGGTATCACTTCTCACTGCCACGCAGGACAGAGGTTCATACACAAAGAAATACATCATATTTATTAACAGTATATATAGGTTAGATTTATGTGGGTGATGTCACTGTTCACTGCCATGCAAGATAGTGGTTCATATACATTAGAAGTCATATTCTAATTGAAGATTAATCAGTGTGGGATAAACAGCAAGAATGTCCTCAAACACCCCCGATTCAATGTAGTAATTACAAAGTTCATGATACAATAAGCCAGGTGGCCTGAAGTCTTTGACAATGTTCCATTCAATAATATAGTGTTCAAGTGTATGCTTTAAAGGTTTATCACAAAGTTTACATGCTGAGTGTTCCGGTATGGGTACAGCGTTACTAACTTGCCAGATGTGTCTGTATCCTAGCCTAATTTTGGCCACGACTACACCAGGTCTCTCTGCATTTCTCAGTTATTCTAGATCATAGTTCTTGATTCTGACTTGAATGTTTTTAAGTATAGCATTGGACAGGCCAAGGTCACGGTCAACAATTTCTTTCTTACATGCCTCATTGGCCAGTCTATCAGCACAGTCATGATACCTAATTCCAACAAGGGACGGAATCCACACAAATTCGACACGAGAGTTGTTCTCATTGGCAGTTATCACATTTCTTTTAATATCACATACAAGTTTAGACATATAACCTGACGGGCTGTTCATTGATTTCAAAGCACTTTGAGAGTCCCAGAATATCACCCCACCTCCATTTTCTTTAAGGTAGTCTGTGGCTAAGTAGATTCCAGTTAATTCAGTTTGTGTTGTGCTGGCCCAGTTGTTCAGCCTTTGCTTGTTTGACACTATCATCTCTTTTTCTTTATATATTACAATTGCACAGCCTGTTCTACCTGTGTTTGTTTGCACAGAACCATCAGGAAAAACATGACATTCACTTGATTTAATACTCTCTCTGTGTGTCTGTTAATAGTTTCTAGTGTGACACATCTCATCACATCGGCGTTTAACATTTGCTTACTACCAACAGGAGTGTAATTAATAGGAACTGATATATCCAGCCAAGGAGGAATGGCATTAATGGGTTCGTCTGGGGTGATTGGGACATTCAGTTTCAAGAGATCGGGAACACTTTTATGAAGCCACGCCCCAAAGAGTCTTTTGTGGAAGGTTAACGAGATAGTCGGGATTACTTAGATAGAAAATAAACTCAGTTTGAACTGTAGTTGGGGGACCATTGTTCTTCAAAACTTTGACACAAAACATGGTAGTAGAGCTATCCTCTCAGATAGGGAGGGCAACCCGAGCTCTTTCTTCATGTTTACAATTCTGGTTGATTTTGGGCAACCTAGAATGATGCGCATGGCTTCATTTTGCACTACCTCAAGGCTGTTGAGTTGTTTAGGCGGAATAGTCATAGCTTACTTTTGACAGATCTGAGACGTTGTCCTTCCTATATCGAGTCGATAGATGGGAAGAAAGATGCTTAATAGGAAATGTTTTATGACAAATATAAATAATTTCGAGGATAATTACACACAAACATGTTCTTTTCAAATTAAGCAATCGATGTAGATGAAAACAGCGTAAAAGTCTTAAGATGTGAGAGACGGTACTTGTCACCGAGCGATCAATGTTGCGTTGATGTGGACTGGTGAGGAATGATAATGGCAGTAGAAAGTGTAAAGCGCTCAACACCGCGCACTGCAGTTACTGTTGATCTTCCACTGTGTTCCTGTGCAATTCGCCATCCGTACAAGACAGTTCACCATCTTCCAACGAAAGAGTTCTCAAGGCTACAAGTTAGACAAACGTGTGTGTGTGTGTATATGTATATATGTATACCTTATAATGAGACAGAACACATAAAAAGAAGACTACATATAAATAGGAAGTACATATAAATAGGAAGTATAGAGAGTAGCAACGTAAAGATAGGAAACTTGGTAGCGTGGCCGTCTGTTATTTACTCCGCGTCAATACGCTTATCTTCTTATCTCGTATGTCAATACACATATATTACTTCTTAAAGGGACAACTTGCTAAACACCTCTTCGACACAACTTTTTATTAATTCACTTAATGACATGGATACATCAATATCAGTATTATATCGGGGTATTAACACGTTAGGTCTAACGTTACTCGACACTGACTCTCGGATACAACATGAATGAATACACTTCCCACAGTAGGTAATACACCCTAGGGATAGTTCTGACAAGACTCACGTGTACCCTGACGTAGGCCCAGTGGGTGCTTGGCTTGGCTGCCGTATGCGATGCTCTCCTTAGCTGGTGACGTCGTGAAGTCTTCTCCCCGACCTGGGGGAGAGGGGACGAGCGTGACTCTGTGCTAGTGACCAGAATGTCCTCTCAATGACCAACCTCTCTGAATGATAGTCGTGTGAGAATCACGATGAGAATCATGGACGGGACTGTAGGGCCTTTACATGGCTTTACAAAGGGAAAATCTTGTCTAACAAATCTGCTGACGTTTTTTAGGAAAGTCTTCGAGGTAGTAGATAATGACGAAAATTACGATGTTATTTACTTAGGCTTTAGCAAAGCATTTGACAGAGTACCGCATCAGAGGCTTCTGAGAAAAATTAAGGCTCACGGTATCGAGGGGAAAGTTTTAAATTGGATAAAATCATGGCTCACCGATAGAACACAGAGGGTCAGCGTAGATGGTGTTAAATCTGAGTGGGGCCGTGTAACCAGTGGGGTTCCCCAGGGGTCAGTACTAGGCCCACTCTTGTTCATAATCTACATAAACGATCTAGATACTGGGATCAGCAGTGACATAAGCAAGTTTGCGGATGACACCAAAATAGGGCGGCAGATTAATTCAGGGCAGGATGCAAATGCATTACAGGAAGATCTAAATAAACTGCAGGGGTGGTCTGAAAAATGGCAAATGAAATTCAACACCAGCAAGTGCAGCGTACTTAATATTGGAAGAACAAATACTGATAATGTATATAGCATTAACAGCATCAACCTAGAGAAGTCGACTTGTGAAAGAGACCTAGGGGTACTTGTAAGCCCGGACCTACGGCCTAGAAAACAGTGCGTTAATGTTCGAAATAAGGCAAACAGAGTATTGGGTTTTATATCTAGAAGTGTAAGTAACAAGAGTGCAGAGGTCTTATTGCAACTATATCTTGCGCTAGTGAGGTCGCACCTCGATTATGCGATTCAGTTCTGGTGCCCGTATTATAGAATGAATATAAATTCACTAGAGTCGGTGCAGCGAAGAATGACAAAAATGATTCCGGGACTTAGAAACCTTCCATATCAGGATAGGTTAAAGAAACTTAACTTGCATTCCCTAGAAAGACGAAGAGTGCGGGGAGATATGATAGAAGTATTTAAGTGGGTGAAAGGAATCAATAAAGGGGATATAGATAAAATTCTTATAATATCCGAGCAAGATAGGACTCGGAGCAACGGATTCAAGTTGGATAAGTTTAGGTTTAGGAGGGAGATAGGAAGAAACTGGTTCACAAATAGGGTGGTGGACGAGTGGAACAAGCTTAGCAACTTTGTAGTAAGTGGGGGAACTCTGGAAAATTTAAAAAGGAGGCTAGATAGATTCATGGATGATAGAGAGTGGTAGTAACTCTCGACAGGAACTGCCATGCACAGGCCAACCGGCCTATTGCAGACTCCTTATTTTCTTATGTTCTTATGTACTGTGTATGGCTTGTATGTGGTTTCGCCAGTTAAGTTTCTCATCAACAATAACTCCGAGGAATTTAGTATTTTGTTCGCGTTTGAGGACTATATTACCAAGGTACAGGGGGTTCAAGTCTGGAGGTAAGCTTTGTCTTCTGTGAAAGATCGTGTAGTGGGTTTTCTCAAGATTTAGAGTCAGTTTATTACGTATTACCCAGGTCCCAACTTTAGTTAATTCAGTGTTCATAGTTCTCATCAAGGAATGGAGGTCTGAGTTGCTGGCATATAGATTACTATCGTCTGCAAATAAGTTGTATTTTATGAGTGGACTGGCGTGGACTATGTCGTTTATGTACAGCAAAAACAGTACTGGACCGAGAATTGATCCTTGGGGGACTCCATACAAGATAGGCGAGGAGTCAGATTGGTGGTTATTATAACAGACATACTGCATCCTGTTGGACAGATATGAGGTAAAGCAATTGTGGGACAGGCCCCTAACGCCGTAATGTTCAAACTTTGAAAGGAGGATGGTATGGTCGACAGTATCGAAGGCTTTAGAGAGGTCCAAGAATATACCGACTGTGAACTGACTGTCATCAAAGGAATTTAAGATGTCATTAGTAAAGGATAGCAGAGCACTCTTAGTCGACCTTCTAGCTCTAAATCCAAACTGGGAGTCTGTAAAGATGTCATTGGCATTGCAGAAGGAATTTAGTCTATTACGTGCTAGCTTTTCCATTATCTTACTCAAGGCTGGGAGGACTGATATGGGGCAGTAGTTCTTGAAGAGACCTTTGTCCCCAGATTTTTTATATGCCGGGTGGACTTTAGCAATTTTCAGTTTATCAGGAAAGACACCACTAGTGAAGCAGGAGCTACAAATGTGAAGGAGAACAGGTAGTAATAAGTGGGCCACTTTTTTAATGATGCTCATTGGTATATTGTCTTCGCCTGCTGCTGCATCTTTGGACATTTTTATGATGGCCAGTAATTCATCTGCTGTGACAGGGGATAAGAATAGTTCATTTTGCTGTCTGTTTTGCAGGTAGGCTCTAAATTCCTCATGTTGATCATGGATGCTCTCTGCAAGATTTTTCCCAACATTAATAAAATATTCATTGAAGTGGTTGGCAAGGAGGGAGGGTTCCGTTATAACTGAATCGTTTATCATAAAAGCTGAGTGGGGGGCCGAAGGCTGAGTGTTCCTGTTCTGAATAGAATTTATGACATTCCAGGTTTTCTTACTATCGCCTGATGCTGACCAATCCACCATTCAGCAGGTGTATCAACAGACCAATCCACCATTCAGCAGGTGTATCAACAGACCAATCCACCATTCAGCAGGTGTATCAACGGACCAATCCACCATTCAGCAGGTGTATCAACAGACCAATCCACCATTCAGCAGGTGTATCAATAGACCAATCCACCAATCAGCAGGTGTATCAATAGACCAATCCACCATTCAGCAGGTGTACCAACGGGTCCGTCTACCATTCATCAATAAATCCTTATCATTTCTTGGTCGATATGATTTGGGATTATATAATTATACTCTCCATATTATACAGTAATTGATGTTTTAAGGAGATAAAACTAAGCTCAACGTCACTGAAGATGTTCACAGCTCACAAACATCACCTGCAAGGAGTAATTGTTGTACGTCACTCCTCATACCTTTATATCCCCCTCTGTAGAATATGTTATTCTTTTGTTCGAGAAATTTTTTGGTTATTATTATTAATTTTCAAAAATAATTAGGATATACCATGATATGCTTTTTACCTACTGCATAAGATGAAAGTAACTGTAAAACTGTTTAGATTAGTAATATAGACTGTGTGGCAACTCTGGTAGTGGACCCTGATGCTAAGTTAAGACCCAGTCACAGTTTGTGCTGTAGCTCACTGTCCTCTCGAACGCTCTATTGTACGAACGTGAAGGTCTAGCTGCACTAGCAAAATCTTTGTGCAAGGTTAAGAAATTCATCTGTAAAACTGTTAACAGACAAGGTGAGGCTGAAGTATTTGTCTTTATCATGGGAATATTTCCTGTTATGTTAAAAAAAATTCTATGTATAAAATATTATATACATGCTGTCAGTAGGAAAATCCTGCTCTAAAATCTACCATATCCAGATTTAATATTATATCATATTTATACTATTAACTCCACAACTGTTGCTACTACAAACTCGTAGTATTTGTTCTTTGTCGTACAAATAAGATAATCGTTATTGGTATCATGGATCACCTGAAGATTTTCCCCCAGCTTATTTCAATTACAGATCAACCACACTGACACTATTTGGTGGCATGAGGCTAGGTTAGCGTTAAGGTCATTGATCGTTAAGTAAAATTAGCTGGAAGGAGAATCCTCAGGTGTTCCAATTTTATTATCTTTATCATTTTGATAATCAGTGACATCATTTTCAGGATCTGAGAACTTCGTTCTTTCTCAATCCCCATAAGCCTCCCTCTCTTCTCACCCCCCTCCTCTCTCCTTCCCCATCACCCTCATGCTTGGTGTGCCATATTTTGTTTCAAAAAAGGACTTCCTTATGATGCTTCATTGTTCGAACCTCAGGTGTATCGTCTTCACATTGTGGCTGGCTGCTAAAACTTTTTCAAATTTACATCCATACAAGTTGTCACAACGATTAAAGTTAACAAAATGATAAATTAATAAAATTCATAAGAATTTTAGGCCTAAATAACCTAGTATAGTTATTTGGTATAATAAAATGAACTTAATATTTATTCTGGTGCAAATTTCAGTACACATTTTATTGTACATTGTTCACAAGTTTTGTTATGAAAGACCTTCGCATGGTTCCATAATAAATCGGTAACAGGTAGTGTCATGGTGTAACGACTTGTACATTAAGTGGTGTCATACTGCCGTATGTTAAAAACTAATTAGAAGCTCCTAATGTACTCCCAGACAACACTGGTCTGCTAAAAGTTTTTAAAGCCCCTATTTTTAGAGGGTACCCGGTAAATTTAGGGGGATATTCCGATACGTAACTTTTTTAAAGCTAATCCTATACCCCAAAAAAAAAAGATGAATTTATCGGATATATATGGTAAATAAATAAAAGTGTTAGAAAAAAAATAATATTGGTTCGCATTGACCCGCACTTGATAGTACAGCCAAAGTGATGCCATACCCCTCAGTACTGAAACATAGTGGACTAATTATGCCTACTCGTTCCTGCCTTATCTGGAGCAATAAGACAACGCGGAATGAAGTGTAGCTAAGATTAATAGAGTTATGAACTTTGTATCATGTCATTATGCTCAATAATCAATTATAATTAAGATAAATTGTGTGAGACTAACTAATTATGTATCAGATAGATCACCATGTAATACTAATGACCGCCTTGTTGTCTGCAGGTTTTGATCACATCAATAAATATTGAATGCGTCAAAAGACGGGTTTCAATCATTCCCTTCGACTTGCCCGTAACCTGAACGTCCTTAACTACGTCCTTAACTAAGGCCTTTACAATATAATGCCGCCAAATATTTTGTTAAAGCACTGTACTGAACATCAGTGGAATTCAAGTACACTACAACATCTCTGCTCGTGCCAGTGCCAATTTAGCCGGCGGGGTGGGCATCCAGTACCGGATGATGGGACTTTTAAACATAAGATGATTCCAGACAGGAACAATGGTGTCGGCTGCTTAACTTTAGTAGGCAGACGACCTCACCCTCGTCGCTCCCACTGAATGCAACATACAGGAAATCCTGAACATTTTCTCAGATTCGGATGTACACTTCGGCCTTGGGATGAATGTATGTAAAACTCTGATTCTCTTTCAGCCTGTCCAGGGTTCAGCTACACCTCCACCATCTATTCAGCTTAACTGTATTACCCTCTCTAATGTTACCCACTTTTAGTACCTTGGCTCCAACCTGTCCACCCGGACATCGGACATCGATGAAGAGATTCAACATGGATCAGATGTGAATCTCAAGCATTTGACCGATTCCGTACCCATGTCTGGCTGTAGGGAGATGAAATCATTTGCAAAGCTGCACGTATATCGAGCAGTGGTCCTCCCCACTCTGCTATTATTATTGTTGTTGTTTTTATTATTATTGTTATTAATATTACAGATAGTGCAGAAGAGTTAATTCAAGATGCTCTCGTTCGCAAGGTCGAGTAGAGCAATGAAGCCAGCCCATTTGTTCAACAGCTGGAAGTCCTGCGCGTTGACTCTAACCGCCGGCACCCACGCCCACACACTTCCCAGGTATTATACTCGGACCCACTGTGTCTAAACAACACCCACATCCAATAACGGACAGCGTTCAGGCCCATAATAACAGACGAACACCAGCGATAAGACAACACCCACGATAACAGTTAACACCCATTCCCACAATAACAAACACCACGCCTAAACAACACCTATTTTATGATATTTTTGTTCTTCATAACTGTAAATAAAGAGGCTGTAGTCTCTGGCTAATGCGTGCGCCATTTTGTTCTCCATTTTACTTACATTGAGTATATTAACCCCTCATATACTGTACAGTCTATCATATCACCTGGGAGAAATATTTAACATGTACTGTATAGCTCTCGGGCGTCTAGTGATTACAAAAACGATAGGACCGAAATTCAGTCTACACTATTAAAAATACAAATACGTGATGGTGTTATTGATTACTACAGTTATACAACTGTGCAAGAACCTGAATATGTAACGAGAGCAGTGGACAACATTTCACAATAGTATTCATTAACCTCTACGTTATGCGGATACCCAGGGAGGAATAATAATAATACTTAAAGAAGAGATAAACAAATTGAATATTAGCATTTTGCCGCATCTAATGTCATTTTATAGTCTTATATATCAATTTAAATGTGACAATAAGATAAATGAGTTACTTATTGCATATTTTTTAGCAATTAGATTTTTACCAAGAGACTTGCCGGATAACCTATCAAAACACCCTCTGTAGAGATTTGCCTTGTACAGGGAGGTAGTGACGCTCTCCAATCACCTCAGTGAGATTCCGTTGACAAAAATCCCTCTCAGCTGAACCAGTGTTTATAAGCAAGACAGTGCTTCGAAATATCGCTGAATCGAAAGGTAAATGGGACGATTACACCACATGTCTATACTTATCAGTGTTTGTTTTTCTGTTCTGTGTTTTGATTTATTGGAGCATTTTACTGTCCAGAAAAGACGCTGACACCTGTATACAGTGATAGTATACAAACAATGTATAAAGGCAGTGCAGTTATGCAATATACATAGAATGCAGGTAAACAAATAACGTTGATAGACAGTGCAGACAATGGTAAGCACTGCGTGACAGAAACGGTTCAAGGTTGGTTGCTAAAATGACATGTAAGTAACAGAGACTTTAACTAGATACGCTCTGTCATCTCCAGTTACAGAAACACAAGTGTGAACGAAAAAAATATATGGGTACTGTACTATGGTTGTGTTAGTGCGTAGCTGGGTGTACAGTACGTCTGGCAGCGTAACACTGTGGCGTAATTCAAACAATTCCCTCTAGCGAACAAAAAAAAAAAAATTGGTGTTTCAGCCATGTCAGGGAGACAACAGAGAGACAGACACAACTATAAATTACGTTAGAAGTTTTGATAATCTAAATGAGGAGGACGATGACGCTTGTCAGCTCGTTGACGTTGTAATGTTGTTATTGCGCTTCTATAGTATAGCTAAGGTCTTGAAGCGGGTCACAAGATTAATACTTATATTATTCCATTAACAACAAAAAATTACAAGAGATATGACTCTATGATGACATTATGTCAGCCTATCTGCACGTGAGGGTGTGTGGCATACTAACCTTTTGTAACTCTGTTATCATTATAGATTACATACAAGCCTTACTGCGTGAGGCAAATCCAATTCTGAAAATTTTGCCCGGACCATCTGAATCTGAACCCAACCAGTGCATGTGTCCTTGACAAACATAACTAGATTCGTAAATATCAGTACAATCCTTGACGCACACAACTGTCACAACCCTCACATTTTGTCACACCATTGTTTGTTCCTCTCCAGTTTTCTGTCTCCCCATCCGCTGTTATTTTTATCTAATAATAATAAATAATAATAATTGACGGTTTATTGAAAAAGTTCTGCAGCCCGAAGGCTGAAAATATACATTGGACATAAATGACTTATTACATACTTTGGTGGTTTAACAAAAGCCTTCATTAGAGAAAGGTAAAGGAACATACAGTGAACATACAGATTAATGTTGGTGTTGAACAGCAAAAACGTAGTGTAGTAACTCCCTCCCAGATGGTGTTAGGAGGGACCTCACGTGGTGTAGTAATTCCCTCACAGATGGTGTTATGAGGGGCCTCACGTCAGGGCCGGCGCTACCCACTAGGCGAACTAGGCGATCGCCTAGGGCGCCAACATCTGGGGGCGCCACAAATTCAGGGCAAACTTGGATAAAATTAAAAATGAAGGGAAAACTGTGGTGGACACTGTGGTGGAGCCGTGGAGGGTCGGAGCAGGATGTTAGAAGGGGGGGGGGTCGGAGGGAGGCGAGGGTAGGTAGACGGTAGCCGACTGTGTTTTCTTTTTTAATATTATTCGTTAACCCCCCGGAGGGACTAACCCGGGTCCTTATCTTTGGCGGCCTGGAGAACTGTCGAGCAGTGACCTGAAGGCTGACATCTGAGGAACCCTTCTCCCAACCCCACCATCCCCTCCCCTCCCTTACTGCCAGGGCGGCTGAGCCGCCCCTTCCCTGTCTTTGTCGGGATGAGGCAAGGTTACCTGACCTCTGAAGTTTACGTCAAGGATTTATTGACTTAATGTAATAACAATAATTGGTTATTTGCATGGGTGAAGTAATAAAGCCACAAGATGAAAACAATGTAGTAATGGGTTACTGTACACACATTAGCTTATCAAAACTTTCAAGGGGGCGCACATCTAAAGGCTTGCCTAGGGCGCCAAATCATCTTACACCGGCCCTGTTTGTGTGAAATATAACAAAGTCTAGGACTGCTTTTAGTATCCTGGTGGTCCAGCGGTTAGCGTTCCCCGGTCACAGTCATAGGCTTGTGGGCCGTGGGTTCGAATCCTGGCGGGTTGAGGTGTTGATTGTATATATATATATATATATAAACGAGCGAATTGTTAACGCTCATAGGAGGGTTATTGGTTTGTTGCTGGAGAAATAAACCCTCAACGTTGACTCGTACCATATAATTCGGTCAAAACCTGTTAAAGAACATTTCTCATATAACAAATGCTGTTATCTCAGGACAGTACATAGCCTGTTAACATCTTAAATATAACTCACATGTTATAACTGTTGATACAGGAGACAATTTGTATAATATGATCAAATTACAGTACATAAATATACTTATTAAAGTTATTTAGAGTTTCTTAGCAGATTCTAATACTTCACGATCACTCACGTTTTAGGGTCTAGTGGTCTGAACCAACGTGTTGTCTGTCCTGTAGAAATCGGTAGACTACCCACCTCAGCAAATTCGTTTTCAACACTATAACTCTTATCTCACCCTCTATCTCTCTCTCTCGCCTAGTTTATCTTATCGTGGTTATCCCTCACTTTCTCTCTCTCTCTTCTAGTTTATCTTACTGTGGCGGTAACAACAATGTTAATCCTATAATCAGCTCCTGGAATCATGTTTTCATAGCCACTTCAGTCTACTTAGTTGTCATTATTTTACAACTTCTCACACAGACGTTCTTAAGATACGACTGCTTTGGCTGGGTAAATAGACCTGTCAGCTTGGACAGTTATTCATCGAGTATACCTGACACATTGAATGATGAATGCAAACTTAAATTTTGCCAAGGTTGGCAACGGGAGTGGGGTGGTGGTGGTGTTAACGATAGTTGTGGCAATGGTGTTGTAGCTGTTGTTTTTGGTGGTGGTAGTGATAATAGTGGTGATGGTGTTGTTGGTGATATCTGTGATGGTGGTGATGATAGCTGCGGTGGCGGTGATAATGATAGCTGTGGTGGTGTTGGTGATGTTCGCTGTGGTGGTGGTAGTAGTGGTAATGGTGGTGATGATAATTGTGGTGATGTTTTTGGTGATGATAGCTGTGGTTATGGTGGTGATGGTGTTGATGGTAGTGGAGGTGGTGATAGAGACTGGAGATAGGGAGATACAGGAGATAGTACAGAGTACAGGAGATAGTACCTCCTTTCCTCCCACAGCCAAACTGTGGAATGACCTGCCTTCTGTGTTTCCATACTCATACAAACTATCTCACTTTTAAAAACTTGGTTTTCCGGCATCTTCGCGGTGTAGATTAATATAATCTTTTTCTTTTCTATTTTTCATTTCTTTTTTCTCCTATTGTCAGTTAATATTATTATTTGTAACGAATTGCTTCTTAGTAACAATGTTCCAGTATGCCACAGTAATGGGGAGAACATAATATCTCTACCTTTACCAACTGTGTATCTGTTGACGTGACTGTTACCGTGAATATAACAGTTACTTGTGAAACTGCCATATACGTAACAACCTTCCTGGGTTGTCACCACTTTAACAATCACTTGTGAAGCACGTTACTTTATATTTTAGACATACTAAAATATACATCAAAGTTTGTTGGAATTATTAGCGAAATCCATATGTTCTTTCCTGTGTTTATTATAAAAGGTTTCTATGTACACTTTCAAACAGGGCTTTACCGTAACTTAATCACTGTAGCTATGAGTGTTAAATGAGGACGGAGGCTATCTTAAATAGCTCGGCTAAGTACGTCCTGTCGAGTGAGTAGGGGCCCACCTCATAGCTGGTGGAAAGTTACAGAGGGTGATGGTTATACAAATCTAATGTAATTAACCCATTTATATAAATACTTCTGCCTATAAGACAGGGGCTAATACATATTATTGTTATTATCATTATTATTATTATTATTATTATTATTATTATTATTATTATTATTTACATTACATCACTTAAGTTATGTAACATCTTGATCACGTAAAGAGTTAACTGTTTAATAATAATTGAAAAAACATTAATTCGAGAAAGATTAAAAGTCTTGATTAATTTTCTCACAAGGTCTTAAACACCTAACTCTTTTTTTAACTTTGTTTTTTCCCCAGGCGTGAGAAGAACGTGGTGTACAGCGATATACCTGACATACCTACTCCTCACATTGACTTACCAGGGCTCATCTTCTCTAGGGCCAAGAACTGGATGAACCATGATGCCATAGTCAGTATTTCATTCCCAAGATAGTATCAACACAGGAATAATATATATACTATCACTATGCACTAGCCCGTTGTATCATCTGTATTGCTTCCATATATTGTAAGAACAACTGTAGTATACATGTGATTTTAGTGTATTTCTGTTGTTGTTTTTTCCTAAGAAATTTAAACTACATTAGTGTAATTCACTTAGAGTTCAATCATGTATATAAACGTAATACAAACTGTGGACTAATCTAATCATTACTGACGTAACCTAATTGAACGTAACGTAACGTAACGTAACGTAACGTAATGTAACGTAACGTAACGTAACGTAATGTAACGTAACGTAACGGAATTTAATCTTATTTTGTCAGACTCGTTGGCGTTAAGGTGTTTCAGTTTGACAGGACGATTACTCCCATGCATAATTTGTTGTGTTTCATGGTTATGAGTCGCGTGCACACAGGAACCTCCTCTACTGTACACGCAATGACACTCCTTACACTGGTCCCGCACCGAGATGAGTCTCGGAAATTTAACACGTAAATATCTGTTCAGTCTGACTGGAGATGTATGAACATATCTAACTGACCTCATTTATAGTGAGTAGACAAATTAGATGACGACAGGGCCCTGCCGGAAATAAGCATCTGATGGCTTTGTTGGGCTATCTTTGGTCGAATTGACTTATTGTTTGCCATTATTTGTGTACCTGCACTGTCTATGTGCAGTCAGCAACAGGTGGCATGATGTTACCATGATGTAACACACAGTGTGTTACATCATGGTAAAATTATCTGAATGGACTGTAGTAACCTTGTAATAGTAGCAAGATTAAAGATGCAAAATGAGCAGTCCACTGCACCCTCTCAACGCAAGCATTAATACTTGCGTATCGATAATTTTGATACAGATTACCAAATAGAAAGTCATTGACTCCATCCGGCAGTCTGGTCGACGGTGGCTCGGTGGAGACGGGGAGGGGTGAGGGACGGGGGGGTGAGGGTGGAGGGCGGGAGGGGTGAGGGACGGGAGGGGTGAGGGACGGGGAGGGCGGGACGGGGAGGGGTGAGGACGGGGAGGGTGAGGGACGGGAGGGGTGAGGGTGAGGGGCGGGGAGGGGTGAGGGAGGGGTGAGGGACGGGGAGGGTGAGGGACGCGGGGAGGGGAGGGACGGGAGGTGAGGCGGGGAGGGGTGAGGGACGGGAGGGGTGAGGGGGGAGGGGTGAGGGACGGGGGGGAGGGTGAGGGGGGAGGGGTGAGGGGCGGGGAGGGGTGAGGGGCGGGGAGGGGTGAGGGGCGGGGAGGTGAGGGGCGGGGAGGGGTGAGGGCGGGAGGGGAGGGGGAGGGGTGAGGGACGGGAGGGGTGAGGGGCGGGGAGGGGTGAGGGGCGGGGAGGGGTGAGGGGCGGGTTCTGTAGTGTGTGGTAAGCAATCCTGTCTCTGAATCCTTATACTTTATTTATGGTTTTAATCAACATTAATGTAAACCAATAAAACGTTACTGCATCTTCTTTACTGTATTATACAGACAAAATTCATACTCTTCACGTTAACTTTGGGCCAAACTTGTGGCATTTATATGCGTTTGTTGAATACTACAACAATAGACTAAGTCATACTGTTGCATTAAATAAACATTTACGTTTTGTAAGTGATATTTGATAATGGGTTAAAATGGGAGAAATGCGGCTGGCCAGGCTATGACTTAAGCCGAGGCATTGTTTCACTGTCTGTAGGATGGATAAACTGAGCTTTTAACTAAATTTGAGATGTTATTTCTAAAGCCAACTCCATGGCGACCTGATAGTAGATTTATATGTATAATATTAAAAACTAATACATAGTTTTCTATCTATGAATCACTCGGCATGACTCAGCAGTTTTGTGAAGACCGTTCCTACCACCACAGAGTCCCACTCACACACACACACGCACACCTCACTCCACGATAAAGTCCACTACTATTCCATGTATGCACTATGGTTCTCGGGTCCCTGTCATTTGAATAAAACGAGCAGATTAATACTGAGAAATTATCCATTAACTACAAATGTATTTAGGCAGCTTGGTGGTGCTGAGTCACTGCATGGGTGTCAAGTTGAGACATTAGAGTAGATGCGGATAGTTTAGTTCATAATCGATGCAGACAATCGCACTCAGTGTCGTGGTGACTCACACACCATCGACATCCTGTCTGAGCCTTATGCCAACTTCTGAAGTTTGGTCATTTTCTTAGTCATGAATTATTTATTTTATTTTATTTTATTAAACAACGAACAAGACTTTCCATGGTAGTGGAATCTTGCTTGAAGCTGTGTATCACTATGACAGTATTTATAATTCATTGTTTCAGTACCGTCCTCCTCCCTCTCCCTTCCCCTCCAGTCCAAAACCTAACACAGCACTCACCTCCTCTCCCTCAGGAGTGTGGGATAACAGGAAGGAAATACACGTACGCGGGAATGATAGACCGAGCACTGAGGTGGGGCGGTGTAGTACAACAGGTACTGTCAGCGCCCTCCTCCTCCAAGCTGATCACCCTCTTCTGCTCCAATGCCCCAGAATTTCCCATCCTCTTGCTCGGCAGTCAGGCCGTAGGCGTCACCATCACCACCATCAGCTCTGCCTCTACTGTAGGTGAGACAAAATAGAGTAAAAGATCAAGTCCACCTCTAATTCTCACCTCAGAGTGTTTGTGAGACTGTGTTCCTTCCTTGTACTTAGCAGAACAGTTGTAGTGCAACAGCTGTACCATAGCAGGATCTGACGTGGATGCTCCATACTGAATTTGTGATTTAATGTCTGCGCCATGTTCAATTATACTTATGAATTGGAGAAGTGATGAAGGAACTGCCTCTAATACTTCTATCATCAAGCATGGTTAGGAATTTTGAGTTGTCTTTGGGCATGTCCTGCCGTATTATTGTTGCAGCCTTGGCCAAATGAAAAGCTTCACTGTATTTGCCAACTTCACCCAGATTGAAGCCTAACATCCTCTTGGAATGCTAGCAAAACATCTCTTCCTTGATTGTGAGTTTCCAGGTGATTCGACGTCAAATTGTTCGAGTCTTTTCTTGTACAGTAAGATTAAATCTGCTAGTCTAAAAATTGTTCGATGAGAACCTTCACATGCAATTTTTGTATCATTGATGTATGTCACCAATTCAGAGAAAGTCAGTGGATATGCATCTTTTTGGTCAAGGTTTTTTGTGTTTTTCTCGTTCCTTTGCACTAAGATAAACTCTTTATTGCACAGTGCAGCTAAGCACGCAGGGTGATATTTCATCTCTTGTGCCACTACATCTCCTGTACTAAGGCTGTCACTGAGTGTCTTTTCACATTCATTGATTCTGTCATTGAGTTTCATTGCCATTGCTTTTCTGAGAGCACTCTCTGGTTCTTGCTTGTCACACAAAAAGCATTCTGTTGTGGTTCATGTCTCTCAAGTCTCTTGGCTTTCGTGGCAACTTACTTCTTCAACCTTCATCACTCTCAACTACAGAGGTAGTTGCTCTTTTTTGGAACATTGTGTTGTTAAAACTAAGTCTGCAGCTCTCATGATACTTACCTTTATTTTTCCTCAGTGTCTCTGCAATACCAACTCCATCATCTAGTCTTTCCATATCAAGCATTATTGGAAGGCCATTGATCGAGTTGAAATGAGGAATATTCTTGGGTAATTTGCTGTAGCCATCTTCCTCTCCTCTAGTATGGTTGTCTTTGGAGATATAAGTTTTTCCTTCTTATCTTCTTGACACAGACAGCACTTGGTTCAGTTTGTTCTCCTCTCAGGATTACTTTTAGGACCAATATTCATCGTCATTGTGGTAGAGAGTGGGGGGTTTATCCTTTTACCACTCTGTATCATATGTGCTTCCCTGTATGGTATACAACTAGGTTCAAACAATTGTTTGCCCTACACCTAGCCCGATCGTTCACCCAGTATCATTTAAGTCCCGTGCGATCTGTACACCATCTGGATAACTTTAACCACATTATCCTTGGCTTGGCTCTCCCACGCTGGCACATCCTGCCAATTCAGGTGCGGCTGCCTAACCTTATTTGGGGCTGATTAAGTAACATTTGGGACACTTGAATGCTTGTATATATATTAATCTTTACTATGAGTTTTGTACTTAGTGGGCACTGAACCCTATGTTGAGATTCACAACAGTGTTGTCACCAGTGTGCCCTGGTAGTACATTGACATTCACTCTTTATAAGCATGTTTCCTTTGAATGCGATCCATTTTAGAGTTTTCAACACAAAATTCAGAGTCTACATAATCAATAACATGGAAATCAACATTGAAATCACCAGAGTTGATGAGCACAATAATTATGCCAAAAAGAAAAATTAATCATACACATTTGGCGGCTATCTTGGAAAATTGCCGCCATCTTCCAATCCTAAATGTCCAATGAGATGGATTTGATAATTAACTCGCATTGAATCTTCATGCCAATTTTCATACTTGTGTTACCATTTGCAAGATTCCCTAAAAAAGTGACACTTGGCCATTCCGCTAAATCAGTCAGCGAAGTGTCAAGTGCTGTGAACTCTTTTATGTTAGTTATTCAACGAAGTAATTCATTCTCGTGAACAAAATCTAACCTTTACTTAGTTATGAAAACCATTAGGTTCTTGTTTCGTATAACCAACTTCAATTCGCTTAAAGATTAGACACCATAGTTTATTTCGCTGAAGAATAAACACTATTGTATGGTAAGAACAGTGAGCTAAACTGGCAACAGTGCGTGGTACCAGTGGCATTTCATGACTTATAGTGGTATTTTGACTTGGTGGTACCAACAGAGGAGTTGGCCAGACAGTTGGAAGATAGTGGGACGGAGGTGGTGGTAACGGATCCCCAGTTTGAGGAAGTGTTGATGTCCGCCCTGGCCAGACTCAACAAGGTGATGACAATCTTTGTGAACGGCGACTCCGCCCACGGACACCCCAACCTCCGTCATATCATCGAGGACGACTCCAAGCCTCTTGTTGAGCCCGTGGAGGTGAGAGAGAGAGAGAGAACTGGTGCACTGTAGCTTACATGTAAATATTGATGATTGACCTGCCTATTATTAGTGCTAGAGGCCCTAGTAATACAGGGCTACGATGGTGATATTGGTACGTCATTAATAACAGAATATAATATAAGTAATTTACTGTACGTACATACCTATAAGGGTATTAATATGACAATTGAATCTAAAAGGTGAATTTATAAACGAAGGTCACCACTGTATTTAGGTGGTCCATTTTTTAAGGATTTGGAGGTCAATATTTTCACCCTGTTATGCCACATTAAAATGACTTACTTAAGTGAACACAGTGGCTAACGTGATGGTATTATGTAAAATTTCAATAGTAAAAAGAGAAGTTACTTACTATGGGGTTTTCAGTTCGTTGAAAACACAATACGTTGGCCACGCCATAGCTTCAGCCAATGATCACTTAGAAAAAATTTATAACTAGAGGCAGCTAGATTACCCTTTTATGATGGTGAGAAGTGAGAATAAATGATGACTTTGTGTCTCTATACTGTATATATAAATATATATATATATATCTTGATAAAATCACACGGGAAATGGAAACAACGGAGCACCTTAGCTTTCGTCTTTATTCAAGACGAAAGCTAAGGTACTCCGTTGTTTCCATTTCCCGTGTGATTTTATCAAGATTTATCTTATCCACGTTTTCATTGTGGATTTACATGAAATATATATATATATATATATATATATATATATATATATATATATATATATATATATATATATATATATATATATATATATATATATATACACTGTATGTATGCATCAGCTGTAAGTTTGAACACACAGTTTAAGAAACGTAAATAAAGTAATGCACTTTAAATTTAAATATGGTCTCTCATATACTATGGTATTCTTCAATTACCACTTTAGTTGTGCTCAGGTGTTCATGATATTATTTTGAGTTATTTTATCTTGGTGTTATATTTTACATAGAATTTTTTTTCTTCAGAATCCTCTTACATCAACGTCCCTCCTCCTGTACTCCAGCGGCACTACAGGCAAGCCCAAAGGCGTGGAATTGTCTCACAGTGCCATCGTTTCCAACTTAGTCAACTTCTCCCATCCTGACTTACTAGCTTACCGTTGTGCTACAGGTGATAAAAAAGTGAACATAAAGAGTTATAAATGAAAGAAGTAAAAGTTCTTTGTACACATACACCTGGCTAACGTTAAGAAAACCGCCCAGGGTAATTTTTAAACATGATTGATCTGTTGGTATGAAATTGTTTGAAGTCCATTGTGTCTCTTCTTCAGCCAAAGAGCAAGAAGTTGTGGTTGGAGTGATGCCCTTTTACCATACCTATGGTATCTACGTTGTGGGTTTAATTTCCTGGTACTTGGGCGCCAAAATCGTCACCCTGCCAGCCTTCACTCCCCACGACTTCGTCAGGGTCGTCAAAGACCACAAGGTACTGTAGGAACCACTAGTCCCAAGTATCTATTTTAAAATCATCTGAGTTTCTGCTTGCATTTTTGGGTAATTTAGCATCCATTTTATATTATTTTGTTATATTCCAAAATTTTTAATGATATGATACTGCAGATCAGAAAGATTATATTTATAAAGGAAGTGGGCGAACAAAAGACCAGGTTGTGCACCAGTTACAAGAGGTTGATATATTCCACAGGTAAGGATCCTTCACCTGGTGCCTCCTATTCTAAACTTTATGGTCATGTCTCCTACCGTGACCCCAACTGACCTGGTGAACGTAGAAGTTGCCATGTGTGCTGGGGCACCTGTACCAGTCACAGCAGCCGAGGCCCTTAAGAAGAAGGCGCCCAAACCTATTCTCTTCCAGGAAGGTGAGCCAACCACCCTGAGGGTTTTACTTACAGTGTAAACAAACAGTTCTTGAAAACGTTTGTAATATAGCTCTATTCTCTCTTACACTGTAATATGAATTAGATGAATGAGAATAGGACTTGCAATTTTTACCATTTGGTAATTAAGAGGTGACATTAGACCTACCTCAGCTAAATCTTCTAGGACAGCAAAATTATCTTTTTAAAGCCATCTGTAGGCCAGAAGTTCGTTGGATATATTTCTGACATTGGTGCAGCCAACCTAAAGCACCGTTGATCGACCATATAATAAGCTTGATCAATGGCAGTAAGTTATAATGTATATTATGAATGATAATAAGTTACTGTTTATCTGAAGATTAGGCACCCCAGCTTATTAAACCTGACAATTAAACACCCTAACGCTAACTTTATCTTACCCAACCTAACCCACCAGGTAACATTAGGTGTTTAATTATCAGGTGCAATGAGCTAGACTCAGTAGACTCAGGCAGGGGTTCTCAACCGGGGGGGAATTTCCCCCCCTCAGGTTTTCAGGGGGGGGGAACTGATACTAATATGGAAAAAATAAAGGATTTTCAGTATTATATGCATATTATTTGGAATGCACTTTTTGAGGCAGACAATCTTGGAAAGGAGGGGGAATGACATTCTGACATATGGTGAAAGGGGTTTATGGGGCAAACAAGGTTGAGAACCACTGCGAGGGTCTAATCTTTACGTTATTCCATACGACGAATACAATATATTTCTTCAGGTTTCCAAACTATTTATATATCCTTCGTGCAGGGTTTGGCATGACAGAGGCCTTAGCCACACACATGACACCTGTTAATGAGGAAAAGATCGGCTCGTGTGGCAAGTGTTTACCCAACGCCATGGCCAAGGTCGCGGACTTGAGCACGGGGAAGGCACTGCCGGCAGGAGAAAGAGGCGAGCTACGTATAAAGTCCCCTTCGGTAAATGTTCCATCGTTTAGTATCCTCCATCTCACACACACACTACTGCTTAGTCCCCTCCAGTAAACACATCATCTCGACATCCTCTTCAATGATGTCACCCATTATAACATTCTCTTCAAACAAGTCACCAACTGTAACAAGCACCATAACTACTGTCCCACTCTACCACCATAACTAATGTCCCACTCAACCACCACCACTAATGTCCCACTCTACCACCACCACTAATGTCCCACTCTACCACCACCACTAATGTCCCACTCTACTACCACAACTAATGTCCCACTCTACCACCACAGCTAATGAAAGGCTACCACAAAAACCCGACTGCCTTCGCTGAAAGCTTCGATGACGACGGCTGGTTCTGTACAGGGGACGTGGCAACGCAAGAGAACGGTTTCTTCTATATTGTCGATAGGATCAAGGAGCTTATTAAAGTCAAGGGTTACCAGGTAAGGTCAATTGCACTAGAGTTTTCAAGATCAAAAGGTCCCCTTCTGAGGTCAAATCTCTAGGTTGGTAACTCGTAGGTAACATTTGAAGTCTCTGGTCACAGCTGTCTTTATATCTAGGATCGACAGGTAGGTCAGCTGTTATAGGTAGGTCAGCTGTCATAGGTAGATCAACTGTCATAGGTAGGTCAACTGTCAAGACTAGGTCAGCTGTCATAGGAAGGTCAACTGTCAAGACTAGGCCAGCTGTCATAGGTAGGTCATCTGTCAAGGCTAGGACAACTGTCCTAGATAGGTCAACTGTCATAGGTAGGTCAACTCAAGGCTAGGTCGGCTGCCATAGGTAGGTCAACTGTCAATGGCTAGGTCAGCTGTCATAGGTAAGTCAACTGTCAATGGCTAGGTCAGCTGTCATAGATAGGTCAACTGTCGATGGCTAGGTTAGCTGTTATAGGTAGGTCAACTGTCAAGGCGAAGTCAACTTTCATAGGCAGGTCAAGATTCAAGTTTAGGTCAACTATCAAGGCTAGGTCAACTTTCATAGGTAGGAGTAAAAAGAAATTAAAAATAGAAGGTACAAAATACAAACAATTGATACACATTTTAATATATTTTGATATGGCTTCTAATCTTTAAAAATGTTTGCCTGCAGTATTACTGAAAAACTACCTTTCGTACAGAACAGACCCACATACCACAGGTGTGGATGGATGTGGTGAATACAACAATAGTTCACTCATGTAGTTGTTGCCCTCCAGGGGAATTTGCCAAAATTGGCTCTCAAACCCATATTCAAAATTGTGCTTGGTTCTCCCTGTTTCCCTTATTATTTTTACTAGCACTTCAATAGAGGGGTTATATTTATGATTATTAAAACATAAATTAATCAGTATCAGCAAGTGAAATCTTTCATATCCTATCCTACGTAATGAAATCCAGTATTGGTGATGCAGCATTGACGAGTTACTTATCTAGTGGGCCTACGGCAGGTATCACCGTCAGAGTTGGAAGACTTGCTACTCCAGCACTCAGGGGTGAAAAATGTTGCTGTGGTTGGCGTACCTGATGAACGGGCAGGGGAGATGCCGAGGGCCTACGTTATCAGACAAGATGACACGACGGAGGAAGATTTAAACAAGTTCTTAGAACCCCGAGTGGCAGCTTACAAGTACCTGAAGGGCGGCATCAAATTTGTCGACGAACTACCTACCAACGCGACGGGCAAAGTGCTCAAGAGGCAACTGAAGGAATTGGCTGCCAAAGACCTATGAGTAAAACCAATTTGTGGTCTTGTACGTCAATACAAATAATGCGTCCATAAACTGTGTATCATTTAAAGTCTTAACACACGCCCTTACAATGTAGCATGTAAGTTGGGAAAGGAAGAAAATTCTGGAAGACCCTTACTTGGAACATATTTTTATCCGGATAAAAGAAAAAGACTTGTTATATAGTGGATTAATTTACTTATTCGTGGAATGTACAATCAAAGACAAAAGTAGTGTCGCAGTTTTGTCCAAAAATTAAATATAACTCGTGAAACAATATGAGAACCCCTTACCACAAGGCAGAGCCCACCAAAAGTTTAGCCTTTTGGCATAATTATGTTTTCACCACATTTCACGGCACGACTTTTGTCTTTCATTTTACAGTACATTCAGACACGGAAAAAAGGTTTGTCGGTCCTCCAACCTAAGACTCAAGAACCTGTGATGTTTCGAATTCACAAGTTCATGGATGAGACGGAGGACTGACAAGACTTTTTTCGGTGACTGTACCTGTGACATTAAATTTACTGGTGCAGTTCACCAAGATGTCTGTGTTAAATATCTCAAGCATTTATTCTCAGCACTGTAGACTCTGTACAGAACAGGCTGTTCAGATTAGCAGTGCCCTACGGCCCGAGAAGCCCAGACTAGGGGGCCGGGGAAGTGACTTTTCATGTCTATGTGCCCGGCGAGGCGGACAAACCAATATTTCGAGGTAAACATCGAGACTGGAACTTGTTTAACCAGAGAGGTCATCAGAGTACCAGGATTAGAGACCAAAATAAAGTGCAGGTAATTTACCTCTACATTAAGCCGGCAGCTCGTCTCTTGTCAGTAAGTCAAGTTGTCAACAATGCAAAGGAATCACCAAGCTATGAGGCTGTGAGGTAACAGGAGTTGGGAATTGACATGACAAGTGTTACCTTCACCGAAACCAGAATATAGGTGGGAGAGGAAAATGGTAGTTAAGGTTGTTTATTGTTTTATGTATTGGAGAGACTTTTATTCAAGTACTTCATCTTTCAATAAAAAACTATATGAGTAATCCATGCAATTTTTTTTATTCCCGGAAATAAATACACATATAGCGTGTCTAGTTTTTTTTGCAAATTGACCAGTAAGATAAGCAGTCATTTAGAAAAATGCCAATAATCATGCCTGTTTGCAAAATGGCCTAAAAGTAAAGATCATTTTGCAAAACTACAGGGTTATTAGCCCGTTTGCATGTTGACCAGACTTTTTGCAAAATGGCCGTTTTTGCAAAAAAAAATCCGTAGTATATTCGTGTGTGTGTGTGTGTGTGTGTGTGTGTGTGTGTGTGTGTGTGTGTGTATATATATATATATATATATATATATATATATATATATATATATATATATATATATATATATATATATATATATATATATATATATATATTGTTATGCCATGACTTATTAACTTGAATTACGTTAAAGATTAATATACTATTGAGGGCACATGTGGCAAAAACAAAACAAAACAATAAAAGAAAAATTGTTAACTCTACACATGTTAGTCCTGGGTTCAAACAGCCCTCTTTATCCCAACAGTTCAGGAGTGAAGGTTTGGAATTACAGTATACACATTATAAAAGATTTAAATAAAATTTAATAAAAATATAAAAAAAAAACCACCATAATAAGTGTATAGGTTTCATCATGAACTACAGGAGGATTTAAATAAACTGCAGGGGTGGTCAGAAAAATGGCAAATATAATTCAACACCAGCAAGTGCAGCGTACTGAATATTGGAAGAACAAATACTGTCAATACATACAGCCTTAACAACATCAACCTAGAGAGAGCATGGCAGCCGGAAGGCTGAAAATATACAGTTACATAATTGGGGAATGGGTCTCTTGATTGACAAATAATATACAAGTAACATAAGTGATACAAATATGATATATAATAACTAGGTGGGGAGAAGGTCACACTACAGGGAATTTCAACAGTGACAGTGCAAAAAAAGTAAGATTGACTGGGAGTGAATGCACTGGTTGATTACAAGTTATTGATAATTTTTACAATGGATGGGACTGGGCTGTTCTTCTAGTGATCAGTACGTGCTCGTATGGGCTGGATGCGGTTGTGGTGTCGAACAGCAGTTCGCGGACGAGGGATCTTGGGTGGTAGTAGGAGCCGGTGTCGAGGATGGTGCAGTAGCTTCTCGCCAAATTTGCAGATGAGCTCGTGGTGATGGTCAGAAAGAGCCGATAGGGTCAGTGTGTTGAGCGCTTCTTGATATGTTGAGTAGGAAGGAGAGAGAATAATCTTGCACGCCCTCTTTTGCACTTTTTCTAGGTGTTTACGGTGTGTGACATTTAGGGAGGAAGACATGGTAGGGGAGGCATAGGTGAGCTTGGGAAGTATGAATGTTGAGTAAACACTGAGGAGCTCGGGTGCAGGAACTCCGAGGGATTTGAGTCGGCGGAGGAGGTGGAGACTGAAACTGGAGGATTTGACAACTTCACTGACGTGTGTTTTCCAATTTAGTTTGTAATCTATAGTGACGGCGAGGAGCTTATGGAGTCTACAGCCTGGAGTGTGTTGGACCCTAGAGTAATGAAAGGGGATGGGACAACGTCGGAGGAGAGGTTGTTGTGCAAAACCATGGTCTTGGTATGGTTGATGGTGACGTGGTTGTTGTTGGTGTGTGTGTGTGTGTGTGTGTGTGTGTGTGTGTGTGTGTGTGTGTGCAGTGTATATGTATTCGAAAATCTCTTAGAATTTCTGTAAAGTAATTTGATTAACTATAATATCCCGTGTGGTGGGGGGACAAAGGAGGGGGGGGGGGTAGCTGCGTCACACCTCAGATTCTCTAAGGCACACATACCACACATTTTCTGACCCCGTGAGACAATAAAAATATGAATCACCATGTGTGTTTCTCCCAAAAAGTTCAAGTGAAGGCCAATCTTCCTCCTTGACTACTCGTAACAAGGCTAATAAAGATTTGGGTTCATACAAAGGAGTGTTAGTTACAAGACTATCGAGGTCATCCTAAAACTGTATCTTGCTCTTGTGAGACCACACCTGGATTACCCAGTTCAGTTCTGGTCACCGTATTACAGAATGGATATAGAATCCTTGGAAAGAATTCAGAAGAGAATGACAAGACAATCCCGGGCATTAGGAACCTTGAGTATAGAGACAGGTTAAAGCATCTTAATTTGCACTCCCTCGAGAGACGTAGAGCGAGGGGCGACCTGATAAAGGTGTATAAGTGGAAGTCAGGGCTAAACAAAGGGGACATTACAAAGGTACTCAAACTATCCAACCAGGAGCGAACTCGTAACAATGGTTTTAAATTAGACAAATTTAGATTCAGGCGTGAAATAGGTAAACACTGGTTTGGAAACAGAGCAGTGGATGAATGGAACAAGTTACCAAATATCATCATTAACTCGAATACGCTGAATAGCTTCAAACATAAGTTGGATGCTTATATGAGCAATAGGGGTTGGGTATAAACGGGACTGCCCTGTATGGGCCAATAGGCCAGCTGCAGTTTCCTCCATCCTTATGTTCTTATGTTAAGTCGACTTGTGAAAGAGGCTTAGGGGTACTTGTAAGCCCGGACCTACGGCCTAGAAAACAGTGCGTTAATGTTCGAAATAAGGCAAACAGAGTATTAGGTTTTATATCTAGAAGTGTAAGTAATAAGAGTGCAGAGGTCTTATTGCAACTATATCTTGCGCTAGTCAGGCCGCACCTCGATTATGCCGTTCAGTTCTGGTGCCCTTTTTATAGAATGGATATCAATTCACTAGAGTCCGGGCAACGAAGAATGACGAAAATGATTCCGGGACTTAGAAGCCTTCCATATCAGGATAGGTTAAAGAAACTAAACTTGCATTCCCTAGAAAGACGAAGAGTGCGGGGAGATATGATAGTAGTATTTAAGTGAGTGAAAGGAATCAATAAAGGGGATATAGATAAAGTTCTTATAATATCTGAGCAGGATAGGATTCGGTGCAACGGATTTAAGTTGGATAAGTTTAGGTTTAGGAGGGAGATAGGAAGGAACTGGTTCACAAATAGTGTGGTGGACGAGTGGAACAAGCTTAGCAATTTTAAAGTAAGTACTGGAACGCTGGATAGATTCATGGATGATAGAGAGTGGTAGTAACTCTCGACAGGAGCTGCCATGCACAGGCCAACCGGCCTATTGCAGACTCCTTATTTTCTTATGTTCTTATGTTCACATACACGAGGGAACAGCCTTAAGAAGTTACCGCCTTCAGGTTTCAGAACAATCTGGTCATAGATCCTGAGTTTCTCCCGGGAAACGACGCTCTCCACAAGGAAGGTTCGCAGGATCTTGCTCAACACCACCTTCAGTTCCATCATGGCGAACTTTTGGCCTGGTGGATCGAGTGGACGGGTAATGGAAGCAAACATGACATACACACAGTATAATTAAGATGCCCCCGTTAAATATTACATTGATATATATGATATGAACATAAAGCAATAGAATCAATTATTATGAGTTGTAAAGACAACATTCATGACACTCACCAATGCAGTTCCTGGGCCCGGCACTGAACGGCACATAAGCGAAGGGGTGACGCTTTCTGGCGTTCTCGGGCAGGAAGCGGTCAGGGTCAAATTTCTCTGGGTCTGGGAACTGCTTAGGGTCACGGTGCAGGCTGTAAGTCATGACGGAGACGGTGGTGCCAGCGGGAATGAGGAAGTTGTCTGTGAGAGGAGAGTTATATGATGTTTACATTTGTGTACTGTGGCATTTTTTTACTCTTCTCTCCCTGCTGGGGTACATAAATAGTGTTATCTGGTACTACAGTCGCCGAAAGTGAAATTGTCTTTACAGAAGTGTAGGACCTATATTTACAAGGACAGTACGTAGACTGCTATTCTAAAAAAATATAATGGTTCTACGGGTCATATGAAGATTAGCCCTTCCAGCTTATTTCATCTGATGATTAAACACCCTAGCAGGAAGGTAATCTAACATAATTTGACCCAGCCTAACACCCCAACCGGGTAGTGTTAGGGTGTTTAATCATCAGGTGAAAAAGTTGGATTGCCTAATTTTGTGATCCGGTTCTGCTTACCTATGACAAGATCTTCGGTAAGCTCTCTAGAGAAACTGGGCACAGGAGGATACAACCTGAGGGTCTCTTTGATGCAGTTCTCCAAGTACTTCATCTCCCGGAGGTCTGCCATAGTCACAGGCCCGTCACTGTCCTCGAAGATTCCGTCCAGCTCCTCCTGTACCCGAGCCTGGTGAAGATCCACTCTTGTTATTTACTCTATCAAGAGGTTGTACTCTATCAAGTGGTTGTTATCCACAAATAACGTCAATTAAAGAAAAATATCATAATTTTACAAGATAGGGAGAACTGGTCGTTGGCTACGTTAGGCCATTTATGTAAAAACATCCCTCGCGAGCGAGAACCACTATCAGTTAAATCAGGAAAGGATCACATCAGGATGAATTAGCATTAGTAAAATAGGATGAAAACATAGTGACGCAATATTGTCTGCCTGCTGTACACAGATCAATGAGGCACCATCCCATCACACATCAACCAATGAAAAGACACAAACCTTGCACATTACGGACGTCATGATAGTTGTGATGACTAGAGTTTCATCACTATTAATTATGTTACTTTTGTGTGACATTGTGCAGCATGTCATAGTGCTCTGGGCATATTTCTATGTAGTAGTTACACACGAACCGCGAGTGAGTTGCGGCGAGTCGTGGAAATTTACTGACTTCAGAACGTAAGGAGATGCTTGTTCACGCTATAGCCAAACGGAGGATAACGTGAAAATCCTGCCATTGACCACCCCCTGCACTTTGTCCGCCAACCACCTATTCCCATTTACACAACGTGTTGTACAGTGCCGCTGTACTACTTCGTAGTGTGGGAACAATGCTGACTGTTGTCTTGTGCTTTAGGACAACCTTATTAACCAACACTATTGTCATCCCTTCGCGTTCACACAGCGGACCGGTTTAGTACAGTTCTCCAGCAACGTAGGAACAGGAGTGACAGTTACCTGCTATTTCAAGACAATTTCCTAAAGACAACCCACATACAAACGTCATCCATCCACTCCTCGTTCACATACAATACGTGTCACAGTATCCAGGAGGAATAAGATGGGAGAAGGCTGACGACTGTTTACAGGTTTGCTAACATTTAGGACTTATTGTCACCATGGCATTCATAACAGATGCGTTTTGTATTTTTGTACAATACTTTTCTAAGGAGGTCATTAGGTTCAAAGCTACCCATGATGATATGATTCTAATGCTTTACCTGCGCGTACATGTTATGAATATATAATCTAAGATGAATATTTTCAATCTTCTCGTCAATAATATGCTCGTCGTGTATTTTTAGGGTTACATTAAAGACTTTATCTACGTTAGTCTTTGGTTCTACGACTTTGTATTTTGGTTCTCAGCTGCACTGTACAGATTCACCCACTCCTTCATTAAGAGGAAATAGTTTTAATTTATTCGATTTACCCGACTTGCTCTTCTGTTGCGACATGACCCACCTGGATCTCTGGGTGATGCCCCAAGAGATAGAGAGCCCAGTTGATGGCGGAGGCGGTGGTGTCGTGTCCGGCGAACAGGAACGTGTCCACCTCCTGCCTGATGTCCTCGTCTGTGATACCGGGCGTCTTATCCGCATATTCCAGTAACAAGTCTAGGAACACCAGCCGGTTTTTCTTGCCTGCTGGTCGATACAATCATGTATTGTTAGATTATAAGGTAGGTTACCTTAGACTAAGTTAAGTTAAGGTAGCTAAGCTTAAACTGGGTTAGATCAAAAGTGTGTATCCCTACACAGTACTACCCCTTATGGACACAATGGTGCATTTACAGCTAGGTGTATAATAGTGTTGATTAGGATTTATTTAAGATAAAATTATGAAACATTCAGAACTAGAGAATAACACCTGGGGCAATGAGGCACCAACGAGGATAAGCAGATGTGTGTCAAGACGACTATAAAGACCATCACACTACTACTACTACTACGTTGCATGACGGTCATCCAGCTATGATAAAATGATTTGAGCTATTAAGGATGTCACCTTCGTTGGTGAGTTCTGAGGTGACTAAGGAGGTCGAAACGGGACCGGTAGTGCCGTCCACAGATGTTGCACGTGTGGAGGGTTACATCTAGTGCGGGAGAGGCGGCGGCAGCGTCTTTCTGGCGTTGGCGTTTGTCTGCCTCGGATTACAGTCGGGTTAACCTGAAAGTATTGACATCTTCTTGTGTGGTGATCCTCCAAGCATTACGGTGTGGAATAATCGCCTCTCAGGTGAGGGGGTCGATTTGGCACTTTTTCAGGTTTGTCTTGAGACTATCCTTATACATTTTCAGTTGCCCGCCAGCATTAAGCTTACTATTCGTTAGGTGACTGTAAAGTAGCTGCTTTGGCAGTCTATTGTCGTCCATGCGGGTAACATGGCGGGTCCAGCGTAGTTGTTCGTGGATAATGGGTAGCCTCAATGCTCCTACAGTTGGTGTCACTGAGAATACTAGCATTAGTTCTCTTGTCTTCCCAGTGAAGTCGGAGGATGGAATGTAGATTACGTTGGTGAAAGTTTTCAAGTGCCTTGGGGTGCCTCCTTTATGTGACCCATATCTCGCCGTAATATAGCTGGATAGGGAGGACCACTGCTCTATATACGTGTAATTTTGTAGATAATTTCAGCCCCCTACAGCTGAAGACACGGGTACGGAGTCTGCCAAAGGCTTGAGATGCACATCTGATCCGATGTTGAATCTCTTCATCGATGTCCGTGATGGTGGACAGGTAGGAGCCGAGATAATGAAAGCGGCTAACATTAGAGAGGGTAGTACCGTTAAGCTGGATGGATGGTGGTGGTGTGGCTGAAACAGGGGAAGGCTGAAAGAGAATCTGAGTCTTACGTACATGGCCGAAAAGTGCATACGCATCTGCGTAGGTGTTCAGAATCTCCTGTAGATCACATTCAGTGTGAGCGACAAGGGTATGGTGGTCTGCATACTGAAGTTCAGTAATGGAAGCTGCCGACACCTTTTATCATGCCCGGAGTCGTCTTATAATGAAAAGACCCTTCATCCGAAACTCGATATCCACACCGCCGGCTAAATTGGCACTGGAACGAGTAAGGAAGACAGCCAAGAGAATAAAAAAGAGAGCTGGCGCCAGTACACATCCTTGTTTTACCCCCGTTTGGATGGGAAAGAACTCAGACTGGGTGCCATTGTGCGGGACACTGCCGTTCATGCCATCGTGGAGTTGACTCACAATGGCGATGAATTTTGGTGGGCAGCCAAAACGGCTGGATGTCCGCCAGAGGTCTTCCCTGTTGACGGAGTCGAAGGTCGTGGTTGGGTCAATGAAGGCCATGTACAGGTCACGACGCACTTCTCTGCACTTTTCATGCTAGTGTTGCCACGTGATGGTCTAAAGCCACATTGAGATTCTGGGAGGAAAATTTCAGCCTCAGGAAGAACTCTGTTGAGGAAGACTCGGGCGATAATCTTGCCAGCTACAGACAGCAGCGAGATCCCGCGGTAGTTGTCACAGTCTCAATGGTCTCCCTTGTTCTTATAGATATTGAAGATGGAGGTGTCTTTAAGAGCGTGGGGATTTACTCCTTATCCCATATACTGTATTCTCCAGGAGAAAGTGGAGACAGCTTGTAAGCAGAGGTCCTCCTGCTCTATACACCTTGTCTGGGTTTCCATCAGGTCCTGAGTCTTTGTTATTTTCCATCTGTTTGATGGCAGTAGTTACCTCATCCATGGTTGGAGGATAGTTACGGTGGGTCAGCTCTGGATGCTGAGGGGCCTGCTGTATAGTCAGGACATCCACATTGGTGTTTTGGTTGAGCAGTGAATGGAAGTGCTCTTTCCAGCACTGAAGGAGGCATTCTTCGTCTTGAATTTAGGAGTTACCGTCGGATGAGCGTAAGGGGGTACACCATGAGTGATCAGCTCATAAAATGTTTTAGTGGAATTGAAAAAATCATGCATCTTGTGTTGATCTGCAAGTTTTTGTGTTTCACATGCTTTATTTTTAAAACAGTCATTCTTTAGAATGCGAAGTTAGCACAGGGCCGTCGCTTTCTTCTTGTGGAAGGTATCAGCTTTGGTCCAAGACTGAGGGTTGTTCTGCCAGTCAGTTAAAGCAACACGTTTATCATCGATGAGTACATTGATTTCCAGGTCATTGTCATCAAACCAGTCCTGGTGTATTCTTTCGATTTGGCCGAGGGTCTCTGCAGGTTTTTGTCTTGGCAGTATCAAGAATGTCTCATTCGGCACTGAGATTTGGGTTGTGTGTTGTCGGGTTGTTTATCAGCCTATGTTCCAGCTACTTTCTAAGCGCCTGTGCTACTGTTGGATCCTCCAGACGTTTAGTGTTAAAACTCTTCTGGAGACTTGCTACCATCGCCGTTTAGGGGCGACGTGAAGTGAGAGCTTGGCTCTGACGAGCCGATGATCAATGTCGCAGTGGTCTGAGTCACGTATGGCTCATGTGATGAGGACACCTCGGCGACCTCTTTCTCTGACAATGATGTAGTCAATGAGATGCCATTGTTTGGATCGTGGGTGTTGCCACGAACCCTTGAACTTGACGGACTGCTTAAACAAGTTATTGGTGATAGTGAGGTTGTGTGCAGCACATTGGGATTACACTTGTCTAGTCCATTTCTCCCTACGATTCCCTGCCAAATATCAGCAACTCAGCCAGCTCTGGCATTGAAGTCACCTTATCTTTTCTTGGGACAAAAAGCCTCCTTGGTTTTATCCTCTGTATCCAGTGTTGGGGCGTATGCGCTGATGAAGAGGGCTTAACATGAGTGATTCAGTGGGACTTTGAGCACCATGAGGTGCTCGCTGATCCCAATAAGCATTTCAGTTAGCTTATATAGGATGCAGTTGCTGATGGCAAATCCAGCTCCTTAAATGTGATTTCTCTCCACAGCAGGCTTACCCTTCCAGAAGGAGGTATAGCCAGGCCACCATTCTGTGTGTCGACCTCGTCTGGTAGCCGTGACTCACTAATGGCTAAGATGTTGATGTTAGACCTCGCCAGGTCTTTTGCCACAAGGGGGTTCTTCTTTCAGGACGATCAGTTATGCCAGTATCCAGAAGGGTCCTGATATTCCATGAAGAGACCATAAGAAGTTGTATATATATAGACACATCGTTTGGGGTTCTGGGAGGCACTCAGTGCTGAGTGGAGATACTGAAGGCAGAAAATGGCAGCACTCTGTAGCTGAAGCCAGCGGTGATAACACACACACATACACACAGTTTTCGTCTCCACCTCCTCCGCCGACTCAAGTCCCTCGGAGTTCCTGCGCCCGAGCTGCTCAGTGTTTACTCAACATTCATACTCCCCAAGCTCACCTATGCCTCCCCTATTTGGTCTTCTTCCCTAAATACCACACAACGTAAACACCTAGAAAAAGTGCAAAAGAGGGCATGCAAGATTATTCTTCCGTCTTCCCACTGCACATATCAAGAAGCGCTCTTCACACTGACCCTCTCGGCTCTCTCTGATCATCACCACGACCTCATCTGTTGGTGAGAAGCTTCTGCACCATCCTCGACACAGGCTCCTACTTCCACCTGAAATTCCTCGTCCGCGAATTGCTGTTCGACACCACAACCGCATCCAGTCCATACGTGCTCGAACTGATTTCAATAAGAACAGCCCAGTCCCGACCATTGTAAAAATTACCAACAATTCGTAATCAACCAGTGTATTCGCTTCCAGTCAATTTTAACCTTTTTGCACTGTTGCTATGTTGAAATTCCCTGTAGTATAACCTTCTCCTCACCTAGGTAGTATATATCATATAAATTATGTGTCACTTATGTTACTTGTATATTATTTGTCAGCCAAGAGACCCATCACCAATTATATAACTGTATATTTTCAGCCTTCTGCCTGCCATGCTCTTTCAATAAACCGTTTATTATTATTATTATTATTATTATTATTATTATTATTATCATTATTATTATTATTATTATTATCATTATTATTATTATTATTATTATTATTATTATTATTATTATTATTATTATTATTATCATTACTATTATTATTATTATTATTATAATTATAATTATTATTATTATTATTATTATTATTATTATTATTATTATTATTATTACACACCCGATTAGTAACAGCTTACAAGAATTTCGGCAACTGAATCGTGACAAAAAATTAGTCATTAAAGAACTTTTTAATCTAACATTAGTGAATAACTTCAATAAATAACCCTTAGCAAATATGTGTTATAGTCAGTAACTCACAACTACTTGCCTAACACTTCCTGGTCGTGGTGCGCCGTGTTGGTGTTGAGGCGGGCCTTCCTGCGCTCCTTGATGGTGCTGTAGGACATGTCGTGGAGGACCTTTAAGTGAGCGTCCATCTGCTTGGCGTACCCCAGTAACCAGAACATAAAGTCCGAGTGCAACCAAGGACGAAACTTCCGATACCTAAATATTCTTCCCATCCTGTAGCAAGATAGAGCTCAGTGAGCGTACGTATTGAACGTTGGTCAATTAAGCGTATCAACTCGTTTTTTTCGTCTGAATGAGGAGGAATGTATATCCAAAACAAATCCATACCTAGAATGAAGGGTTATATTCATAAATGATCAGCACATGATTGCATAATATCTTGGTACATGGGAACTGTACTACCAAACACAGTCCAGATATGTCCTTAGGTAATGTTTACAAAAAAAAAATGACCCACGTTTGGGTTCTGGTAAAAAATACAAAGTTAAGTCCACAATGTTTACCCGAAGACAGCTTTGATGAAGTCCGACTGATCGGAATCCTGAGCATTGACAGACCGTCCCATCGCCGACTCTGAAGATAAACAAGTATACTGTATTGTACCGAGCACAAATCGGCCAAGAATATGGGTCAGTGTCCTCAACTCACCCTTAATCACTACTACATTGTTGTTATCCTTAAAGCAAGGAAAACAATATCTATTTTGAGTATCATTTAAAAACACTGGGATTATCTTTGGCATAATGATGTGTCATCTGATATTTTGGGCAATATTTCCTTAACTCAGCGTGACACCCATACATCATCCTTCGTGACGTCATTGTGAGTTAGCCCCAGGGCATGACCGTCCTAAAGAGCCAGTCAGTCTTTCGCTGGACACCACCCATAACAGATCCATCACTGAGCAGTCTGAGTTAGAGACCACTTCAGTTCTACCATAGCTAACACTGAGTCTTCCTTAGTCCTAGACTATCTAATACTGCTCTCGCCTCAGTACTAGATCAAGTGACTAAGAGGATAAGTAAATAAGGAATTAGGTAATTAACTCAGACCACACACTCACCACACAGGATATCGAGCACACAAAGAGTAATATCAGAGAAGATGTCGAAGGGTTGGCCGTCAGCCTTCTTGTGTAGCTTCTGGACTAACTTGTTTCCCTGGCTGTTGAACACACCCATAAACTCTTCCAGGATCTTGAAGTGGAAGGCCGGAGTCAGCAGCTTACGATGGGTCTGCCAGCGACTGCCTGTACCAACATTAAATTGGTGAGAACATAATAGTCGTAGGTGAATTATTGTAGGTCCCTCTCTCTCTCACTCTCTCTCTCTCGCTCTCTCTCTCTGGTATCTAATGAGTTATTTGATCCTCGTGTAATTTCACAAGTATATATCCTAGCCACATTCACGTTCACAGATATACTTTTAATAATTTAAACCCATTCCTCTTAATTCGAGCCAAGTGTGGAGCACTACTTATTGTCGTATTATTATATTATTACACTGTATATCGACAACAGATAAGTGCTTGCCTTATGAAAACAACAACGTAACATTACCTGTAGACGTCAAGAGACCCTGCCCGAGCCAAGGGTGGACAAGATTGTAGATGGCGCTCTTGTCAAGGTTTTCCTGACTGGTCAAGAGACTCTGTAAATCGTAAAAGTGTTTGAACATGAGAACGTCATCATCACAATCCAATTTATGGTTGACACCCTTGAGCGTCTAAACTGCTTGTACTTTACTTTGGTGTTAAATTTAAATGAACAACCTAAGATTAAACCGGTTCATTTTTTATGGTCATTTGTCCAGGGAAGCTCTGAACATCTTGTACAGTGTATTGCTCTACTGGAATGATCCGTCACTGGATTCTTTTCTCACTATGACTGGGCTCCGATTCCTAAATGTTTCTACAAGAATACTCTTTGTAACTAAAATGTTATAATGCACTTCTTTCGTTGACAAACAAAAGCATACATAAAATTCAAAGAATAACATCAAATTTACACTTAGACTTTAACTTAACTGAATATGTTCACTTAGCACCAGGCAGGGGACAAAAGTGCCATACAAAACTTTTCCAAAGATTCTGCAGGTTAACTTTTAATGTGTGATCTTATGAATTATAATTCATAATGTATTTGTTCAATCGATTAATAATTATTAATCAATTGAACAAATACATTATACACAAACTGTTGCCACTAGTATGTCAAAATGTAAATGATTTGATTATAATAAACTTTACTTAATTAGGCACTACTTACCTGGACACCTTCGGCCCCACTCAACAAGCAGTTAAGACTGATATAAATCCATAACTTCGTCACTGGACCAATCTTACAGATTTTTACGATTCTTGCAAATGCTTCTGTAAATTGAACAAATAATCCATTTATTCTACGGTTTCGTTTCTAGAAAAAAATCTAATGCTTCTTTGACAATTCTAGAACAAATAATTGACATAGAGCCTAAAGGTATCAAAATATTATTTTGAAAATATACCCAGAGTGTCGACTTTACACATAAATTGACGTGGGTTTAGTTTGGCTGTGCTGCATTACCTAATATTGGGTTTCTGAAGCATCTAGCTCATGTGTACTTCGTCCGTATATATACCCTGAATCATATTCTGCTGAGGTTGATATCTCATTTCTCTCCCACCAGCTTCAACTTTTTTCTTTGTGTGATCGGTGTCCGCAAGTTACTCCCACTTTAGACTGTAGTGGATCTCTCCCCAACAACTACATCCGCATTCCAATGAGACAGTATCCTAGCAACCAGCCAACTGCTCAGGGGGAGGGGGTCACCAGCTGCTACGTCTACCCTAGTAACGAAGTCAAGAAACCGGCGAGTACCCAACGGATTTACTTCCGGCTGCTATGTATATAAGCTCGCAGTCTCTCCATTGAAATTCATTCTTCTCTAAGTTCCTGAACACGCAACACCTCCTCCAAGCAAGCTCCTCGCTGTCCAGCTCTCATTCAACCTGGAGGCCAGCAACATGCAACATCCCCTCTAACGAAGCTCCTGCACATCTACCTCCTAAAACACGCTACTCATTGAACGCGTCTTCTGAGCAAGCTCCTCACCACACGGCATCTCCAGCACCAGACTGTCTTGTATATAATATATTTTATATAAGAAAACCACCACCTAGAGTTTCCATCCATCCATCCTGAGTGCTAGACAACATAACATCTCGCAACCCTACAAGGCTGAAACTATTTCCATCTAATAATTTGGGATCTTTAAGCTCAAGAGCATATTCTTCTTTCGTCATTCATAAAATATTGTGACTATTTTACTAATGTGAAGCACAAGAGGACAGGACTCACCACACATATCGTCCATGCTTAAGTCGAGAACACTGCCCAGTAGTGGGAGTCCTCTTGGACCAGGGATCTTGTCCATCATCCACACCTGCCGGCCAACACCACCACTTATTATGGCCATTTGTACAAGGTCCTATTTTGTTAAACTGCTATAATTTTATTTAACAAGGAATCAAATAGTCATTTCACAAAAAAAAAAAATGTAAAAATTAGTTTGGCAAAGTATTGTTAAAATCGTATTCTTACTCTCTGTGTGGGCAATGTAATGTCAGTAGCCCTGGGTAGTGAGTAGTGTCTGTGGTCTATCAGTTTGAACTTCTCACCTGTAGTTGTATACTGTATGTAGTAACTGTAATGTTGTTCCTAAAGTAATAAGATAAAATTAACTTTAAATATAATACTTTAAACTCTATAAATTTCTAAGAAGATAAGTTGTGTTAGATACTGGAGCCTTATAATGTTATTACTGAGCTTCAACATCTAAGTTCTTTAAGTGCGTAACAAGGTTAGTAACAGTACTAGTCAATCACGATTTAAAAATCACAAGAAAGAGAACTGAGTATAGCGATATATATACCCCTGTACTGTATATGTATATATGAAACTGAAGGTAAATCATTCTAGAACAGTAATGAGTGGAGCAGAGAAGAAAGACGTTGAACTGCATAGTCACCGAGTACTTCAGGTGATTTAGTTCATGATTATTACTTTAAGATTTACATATTAATGCCATGCAGATTAACCATATCTCTAATGTGAATATAAACAATGGAAATCGGTTGAAACTGATTTTTAGTTCAAAAGTAATGTTCTCACAAAGGTTCAAGTGTAAGTGTTTCATGAACCAGTGAACCCCAAGACTACACATTTCAGATATTAGATTGTCGAGTGGTCAAGAGCAACGCCGTCATGAGATAGCCGAAGTCGTGTTACCGCCTCAGGTCGACTGTACTGTATATACCATGGGTAGCCATTTCGTTCCAAAGTCATACAGTAAACCCCTTAATCACCAGGTACTCACCTTCTGCTGCCTTTTGAAGAACAACGTCAGTGAAAGCACGATGAAGGCGGTGAAGGAAATATAAGTCACCAAGTTTGGTAAATAAAGCATCATTTGTTCCCTTAGCCACGCCATATTGGAGTCTCCAGTCACCAGCTCTGAAACGGTTATCAGCTTAGTTACTGGGTGAGTCAGATTAGTAACCTGGAGAATCAGCTTAATTACCTGATAAATCAGTTGATTTACCAGATGAATCAGTTTAACTATCTGGCGCATCAGCTTAGTTGTCTGATGAATATTGAACCTGTGGAAGAACACTTCGGATCACGTGAAGATTCGGCACTCCAGCTTATTTCACCCAATGGTTTAACACCTAACGCTACCTGGGGGTAAATGGGGAAATCTCTCTCTCTCTCTCTCTCTCTCTCTCTCTCTCTCTCTCTCTCTCTCAATCACCACATTATACTGTACTTGTGTGTGTAATGCAATTATGGAAAGTATTATTTTGTATTGCAGTGGTCAATAAACAAAGCATGTATGTATGTATGTATGTATGTGTGTGTGTGTGTGTGTTTATGTATGTATGTGTGTGTGTGTGTGTATGGCAACCTGTGGTGTAATGGTCAGCATCCTCGCCCCCTAAGCGAGCGGACACTAGTGCGATCCCCGGGCAGGGTGAAACAATGGGCAAGTTTCTTTACGCCATTTGCCTCTGTCTACCCAGCAGTAATTGGGAACCTGGATGTTAATCGATTTGGGGATCGTATTCCGGGTAATGGTTAGCCAGTGCAGTTGGCGAGCTGTCCAGTCTTCTCGGACTATTCCTTGACACTGGGTAATGCAACTCGTTAACTTAGGGTGTGGTTGTTGTGTTGGCGACAGCTTCTACACCTTTGTTTTGGTGTCAGGTGTGTAAATGTAAACAGCGTGGTCGACAATACAAGGCTGGCAGTTGGACCCACCTGCCTGTAGCTACAAGGAGACGAGTGAGGGTGTGTTAACAGTTTACCGGAGTGCAGCTGCCCGACGCTCTGCCGACCTTACTGTGATGTTCGGTGGCCAGTTTCTTGGTTATATTTATAATACACCCTCCCTCATTTCTGATGATTAATAGACGGTTGAACTTATCAGATAATTGCGGTTATTATACTATCCAGGCCAGTGCCGAGGAATATTTTTATGCCGTATAACATATCTGTGAATTTTGATAAGGGCTTGCCTTTGTGTTTGGTTAGTCGGGTTTTTTCAGAATATCCTTTCAGGTTTTATTCAGTAGCTAACTTCAGGTGGACATCACAGGGAATACAGTTTGTATAACAATCTTTTTTTTCTTCATAATGTCCACAAGTAAATATTCCACCTAAATTAAGTTGTTGTTGAGACTTGGGTTAACTTTTCATTAGTAATGTCCTTATCTTCAGAAGAAGTATTTTAAGCTTCGATGTTTTGATTACGAGATAAAGTACTCTACTGTACACGTGTTGGAGAGGGCGATGACTTGGTAATGGTGGTGGGCGGGGGTTGCTACATCCCGCTCCTCTTGGTTCAATTTTTGGCATGACTCGCCCAGGACAACAGGATTACCCTAATTTTCTTACCTTCCTGAACACGTAACTCTGGCTTTAAAATATTCTTCTTCACAGATCTTCAGATTCTCCCTCTAACCTCCCTCCCCTCCACCCCCCCCCCCCCTCCTCCTAATGCACCGAATGTGGGATTTTAAGCATTGAAAGTTGGAGTTTCTGGTTAACCTTCAGGGCATTTTGATATTCTTAACAATTTGTTGATTGTACTGTATTTCTTATAAAACATCGTGTGGAAATGGGCATACAACTCGTCACCACACCTCATGACATTTAGACGCACTTTAAAGCTACATAATATGTAACATGATGATAGTAATAATGCTGACCGTCTTAAGCTCATTTTTCATCTTGCTGTGACAAATTCTCTGTCCAGTGATGTAGTTGAGGATTCTAATACCGAGATCGAGACCATTCGCAATTTTGTTTTTTTTGGATCACTTGAAGATTAGACCTCAGGTAGCCCCCTCCCCCGAAATACTCCAAAAATAGGGACAACTTTGCAGATAAATTCTAGATGTAACACTCAGAAATGTGAATACACAACTTCCATAGGAGTCTTTTGTGTTGTGGTGGTTAAGCTTTAGGTGGGTTAAGCAAGGGACCAATCTTAAGATGATTACTTAGGTCCACCGTCCCCTGTAGATTAGCATCCTCTTGGTAGCGTTGGGGTGGTTAAACTTCAGGGGTATTAAACTGGGGAGCTGATCTTCAGGTGACCGCGATTTATTTATAAGTCGGTTCATAAGACGAGTTTATAGGGATAATTTATTTAGTTAAATATTTGAGTCTCGGCTCATACCAGTATACATATTTTTGAAAGGTTGAAATCTATGGATGATGGAGGGTCGGTGGTATCTTAAAACATGGAAATATTTACCTACTCGAATGGTCGTATGTGTATGTCAACTACCAAATGATTTATATAGTTTTTAATTTCATGATATAATTATGGGACCCTATATATTACATCAGGCTCATTGGTCATGTTCAGGTACTCCAGATCAAGACCTGAAAAACTGGTCTCTAGTTCCTACATCTCTGACCTGGTCATCGTCAGTACCTTGTTGGCCTAGTAGTATCCGGTGGTTTGTTCTCAAGGACTCCAGTGGTGATAACTAACCATGACTAAGCAGTTGTGAAGAGTCTCTTGAACTTTATTCTCAGGAGATTTTACAAATCACAATTTCAAAAAAGTTATAAGATATGTTAAAAGTTGAGTTGATGACTGAGTTACTACCCAACGGCCATGGGAAGAGTAGGAGAACAGTCGAGACCCCGGTGAACAAATATTATGGAACGAAAGGACGGGATTGAGCAGCGGATCCCCAGTGAGTAAACTTATATCCCAGACGGGTAAAGTAAAGTAAAGTATATGACAAAGTTTTCAGTAATAATAAAACAACATTCATCACTAACTCGGTGGTGTTATCTAGTAACCCATGACGTCAACACTTACCAAACTGGATAAATCTGATGTGATATTTTTTGTGTATAGAGTTTTATCAATTTAAAAAACAATTTATATTTAAATTTGTGTTTATCGTTTCCTTGTTAGGTTCATACAGGGCAATAAAATACGTGACACTTTGAGATATAAGATATGATATTTTAACTTTGAACTATTATGTATGAACCAGCGTTAAGGTGATTAAATTTATTTTTTTAGAAGAGGATATTTTTGCCTTGAAGATAAAAAAAATCTATGAACAAAATTCAGTTATTTGTTGCTTAATTAATACAAACAAAAATTCATAAGACAGGGTTTTTGACATGAGACGTGATCACTAATAGTACAACAATTACAGTGATTTCTTAGTTATGTGTACACATGGAGGCGATGTCTTTTTTAGTTAGTTATCAAATTTATTGACAAAGCTTGGAGTGAGTATAGTTTGCCTATTCTTAGCAATTCAGTCAGGTCTTTACACTGAGGGTGGTATCACGTCTCACTGCCACGCAGGACAGAGGTTCATACACAAAGGAATACATCATATTCATTAACAATATATATAGGTTAGATTCATATGTGTGATGTCACTGTTCACTGCCACGCAGGACAGAGGTTCATACACAAAGGAATACATCATATTCATTAACAGTATATGTTATCGCCGCTGGCTTCAGCTACAGTGCTGGCGTGTGATGCCATTAAATCTTTCGATCTGTGACCTCGCTAGAAGTGTTTACAGACAAGTCCTGGTTCTGCTGAGTGGAATGTCTTAGACTGGTGGCGGTGGCTGCCCGCCCCTCCATGAGACAGATCGCCCTCTCTAGTGATGCTGTGAAGACCAGCCTTCTGTCCGAGAATTTGTGCTGGGACGATTTACGCAATACTGTTTTCTCTTGGAACACCATACTGATCTGCATTGACCCGCACTTGTAAGTACAGCCTAAGTGATGACATACCCCTCGGTACTGAAATATTGTTGACTAATTACGCCTACTTCTGCCTAACCTGGAGTAATAAGACAATGCAGAGTGAAGCGAAGCTAAGATAAATAGAGTTACGAACTTTGTGTTATGTCAGTATGTTCAATAAATTGTAATTAAGATAAAATTGTGTGAGACTAACTGATTATGTATCAGATGGATCACCATGTAATATTATGAACGCCTTCTCCTCTGCAGGTTTTGACCACATCAATAAATATTGAATGCGTCAAAAGACGGGTTTCAATCATTCCCTTCGACTTGCCCGTAACCTGAACGTCCTTAACTAAGGCATCTACAGTATATATAGGTCAGAGTCATGTGGGTGATGTCACTGTTCGCTGCCATGCAAGACAGTGGTTCATATACATTGGACGTCATATTCTAATTGAAGGCTAATCAGTATGGGCTAGCAAATTTGGGATAAACAGCAAGATTGCCCTCAAGCAATCCTGATTCAATGTATTAATCACAAAGTTCATGATACAATACGCCAGGTGGCCTGAAGTCTTTGACAGTGTCACATTCAATAATATAGTGTTCAAGTGTATGCTTTAAAGGTTTATCACAAAGTTTACATGCTGAGTGTTCCGGGACTTGGGACCTGGGTCTTGGTCACAATTTTAGTGATGTCATATGGCAGCAGGGTCAACCATTAGACAATACATTATGCTTCCAATATTTCCCAGGCGGTAGTACCTCCAGGTTTGGTAGCTGCCTACTACCTACTACCAACTACCTGATGGCTTTGGTAACATGTCCGCTAGCAGCTCATTACACCGAACATAGATGTTATACAACGAAAATTGACTGTTTGCTGTCTTTGCTGTAAATTGTTGATAGTGAATACTTTCAGCATTGTGAGTTTTGAGCCATTTACAGACCAGACCATTCTTTACATAAGTGAGCAGGCCACCTCCTGCTTCATTATTGTATGCTGTAAGCCCAGCTATCCTGGGTGCAGCTTTCTTCTGGGTGCTGGACGTGTAAGGTTCTTGTAAACCAATTACATCAATGTTAAAAAACTTTAACAAACCAATGTAGGTCATTAATTCTGCGATTAATACTCCGGATGTTCTATGAAATGAACCTAAGCGTTCGTGTTACTCTTTCCACCTTGAACTGAGTATAGAGAGTCGGGCGTTGGCTTCATAGATCAACCTGACCAATAAGTTAACCGTTTCAAATTCATCACCCCCGGAGTTCTTGATAATGCGTCTCACAGCCCTTATTCCAGTAGGACTTTTATACGCAGGTTCCTTCATTAGTCCCGCGAGTTCCTCCTCCGAAAATATTGGAGGAAGTACAGGGTTATGGACAATTTTCAGACCTAGGGTTATTAAAGAAACCACGCTGCTAGTCTGGGGCTCATTCTCCCCATTCATGCTTCCATCACTATCGGTCTCGCTCTGGCTACTCACCCTCAAATTCGCATCATTATGAGAGGAGGCACCAGTTCCTTCAGAAGCTCCACTGACACTATCACTGCCATTGTTCACTGGTACACTTATTTGGCAGGCTTTAACCTGACCTGCATTGTCTAACGAAGGAGAGTTACTGTGGCTGTTGATTTCAGATGATGGAGGCGACCCGGCAGTGTTGTCGTTGTCGTCATGACCGCTGTTGTGGGTGGAGGTGGCTTCCCAGGGCAACCGGGGTGCCAGGCCGTCATACCCTCCTCCCTGCACCTGGGACACTGCCTTCCAGGTAGAATTGCCTGCTCTCTCCCCTCCCGAGAGGCAGCTTCCTTGGTGGGGCAGCTCCCCGTGCTATGCATTCCTGCGCAGATGCCAGAGGTGGCTGTCTTGTGACAATATTTCGCCACATGATTGACCCCAAAGCAGTTGTAGAACACCACAGGGGGGGGAGTCCACCGACTGATGTTACTAGGGGTACCATACTTGCCGAAGAAGCAGTATTCCTCAGGAGGTAGTTCCTTCCTTTTCCAAACAATGATGATCCTACTAAGTTGTGCACCATCCTTATAAAGTCTTCTTGCTCTGTAGACGCCCGGAAGTGACAGATTGCCACTGAGGGGAATACCCTTGGGGAAGTGGGTGACAAGGTATTCCTTAATTTTTGGGGTCTGACAGGTTCATCTCGCTTAATGTGATGTAGTGAGCCGACCTTTCCATCAATGAAGCGTTGGATAGCATCCGTCTCCTCTCGGCCTACATAGACGAAACGAGGGGCGCTACCTGTCATGACAACATTCAGCATAGTCTTGCAATATCCCTCATTCAGGGCTCTCAACCACTTAATCTTCATTAAATTGATTGTGTTCTCTGGGAAGGCAAGGCGCATGTAGTTAGCCGTGCTCCTGTTAGCTGGCAGAGAACCTCCATAGCCGCGCCCTTAAGACTGGTGGCTAAGTACACTGTGCACTGCTTGTCGCCCCACCCTTTTGTTTCTTCTTCACAGGCACTCTTGGATAGTACACCACTTCAGTTGACGTAGTATGGGGGTCTGAGCTCAGGTGCTCAGTAATTTAGCTCAGCACTTCCATTTTCCACACGCTCATCGTATTTTCCAGAATTTTCAACACTGCATTCCACTCGGAGCGTGCACAAACGATATTTCACGTACACCGTCACGATCATAGGGGTCATTAGGTCTTGGCTGAGCCCCTGCTGTTAGACAATTCTCCAGAGCTTCCATCCTGATACTGACTTTCTGTAGCTCACTGTTCACCATTGTTAGCGCCTCTCGTACCACTGTGATCTCACCACTCACTTTTTCTTTGTGCTGTTTCAATTTTTCACTCACTTCAACTTGCACCTCATGAAACGCATCATCCCATCTATTACACATTACTTGCAGAGCCTCATCCCGTTCATGAATTTTCTTGTCGATCTCTCCCTGCAGCTGCTGTAGTTGTTGCTTCTGTTCTTCTCTCTGTTTTTTAGACAAAATTCATTCGGGGGCATGATCCTCATAAATAAAACAAAGAATCCAAAACGTACAATTTTGTTATCCAGGGGCCATAACTGGTCGCTGTACATTAATTTTCCTGAGTCGGTGACTCTCAGGTAAATCAAAGGAAATACAATCGAAATAATAACCCACAAAATCAAATTTGTGAATTTTTAATGTACATTGATTGTATACCTGCATTATATATTGCGCCATAGTACATTGTTTGTATACCTGCACTATACTGTATATGAATATGGATAATGCTAAATCAATGTGAACTTGCATGGAGATTCTGCTGCATAAATATCTTTATTAATTTTTACTGCAGTATGAACAAAACGTTCCCAGTGAATGGAAAGTGTCTTATGCGAGTCCTATCTTCAAGAAGGGCAATCGTCACTCCACGAACAACTATAGACCGGTGAGCCTGACCAGCATAATATGTAAAGTACTTGAGATTATTACCAGAGATGCCGCGATGGAACATCTACTACGAAACAACCTTGTAAAGGATTGCTAACACGGTTTTATGACGGGGCGCACCTGCTTAACAAAATTGCTCAAGGTATTGGATATTTGGAGCCATATTCTGGAACGGGTGGTAATATCGACAATATATACCGAGATTTTGCCAAGGCTTTCGACAGTGTACCCCAAGAAAGGCTGAAAATTAAACTGGAAGGGTACGGAATTCGGGGAAATGCCCTAGCGTGGATAGAAGACTTTCTACAAGACAGCAAGCAGTGTGTGGTTATTAATGGCACGAAATCATCATCCGTACCTGTCACAAGCGGGGTACCACAGGGCAGTGTATTGGGCCCAATGTTGTTTGTTTGTTTCATAAATAACATTCCTGACGTTGTACACTCCTCCATACAAATGTTTGCCGATGACGCCAAGTTATTTCGGGAAATCAAGAACCATGCGGACTGTGAAGAGCTGCAGAAGGATCTCTGTGAACTCCAAGAATGGTTGAAGAAATGGCTGCTGAGATTCAATGTCACGAAGTGTAAGAGGATGCACCTGGGGCGTACCAACGATAAGGATGCGTATCATATGTCCCAACGGGATGAAGAAACTGCACTATTTGAGACTGAATGTGAGAAGGACCTAGGTGTGTATGTTGACAATGAGCTGAAGTTCTCGGGCCATTGCGAGAAGAATGTAAATCAGGCAAATAAATTATTGGGTCTTATAAGAAGGTCGTTCAGATATCTAGACGGTCCGTCCCTCGTAACGATCTTCAGGAGTGAAGTGCTTCCCCATCTGGAGTACTGTCACCCCATCTGGTCCCCGAGATATGCTAGGGACTGTCAGTTGGTTGAAAATGTTCAAAGGAGGGCCATCAGACTGGTGCCTGCACTTCGGCACCTCAGCTACCCACAAGGGGTCACAGCTCAAGATGGAAGAAGCCGCAAGTCCAGAAAACTGTGAGAGCAAACTTTTTCGGAGTGAGAGTTGTGAACTCTTGGAACAATGTACCAGAAAGTATTGTGACGGCACCGAGTGTGAGCTCTTTCAAGACAAGACTTGACCAACACTGGAGCGGGTTCAGGTACATTCAGGAGCCGGTGCATGCCCAGTACTTGCGAACAGTGTGTAACAGAGACGTGACCGATCTCCCAAGCGGCTAACGAGCCGATCAGTGGTGAAGAGGATAAAAACAAAAGAAACAAAGTATCACCTCTATTGGTAAACAGGGGATAATGGGACTGTGCATCAATGTGGTAAAGGAACGACCTGCGCACTCGCTGCCGCCGCCTCAAGAACACATCTGGATTTTCCAGCAGCAAAACACAGGACTCCATCCACGTACTATCATTATTGCAAAGAAAAATGTAATTACAGTTGCCCTTGAAATATGTTTCAGCGCATGATTATTTAGTATGTTAAAAATAGTGTGCAGGTAAAATATGGAAAGCCTTTGAGTGCACTTCAGTTATTATTAACAAGGGTGATGATCATTCAACAGGAAAATTATCCGGTAACTTTACAGTTTCAGCCACAACTACTGCTCGACCACAATTTTGTGCTTTTCCCATGGTATTTGGCATAATTCATTCGAATTTGACCTTCATTTCCGTTGGAAATGTGTCGTTTTGGACTTATCACCCCCCATACAACCTGACGAACCAACCAAAGAAACCTACCTAACCTTACTAAACTTTCTAGCCATCCCCGCTATATTAAACAGAAAGTACTTATTTTGATATTTGGTACCAATGAAAGCAACTTTGTTGAAGCATTATGGTGTAATTTACGTTATTTTGTGGACGTGAGAGTAAAGCTCAGACTGAACCGGTAGGCTGTAAATAAATCCCTCTGTAGACGACATGTGGTGACCGGAGATCTACTTTAATTTACTTTTTCAATTAATTTCCATTTGCGACGGAAGTGGTATTAGAAAAAGTTGTTGTTATTGACAAGATATAACTAATGGTACACACAAAATGGCTCTAACCAAGTTGTGGCTGAAACTGTAATAATACAGTCGACCCTAGCCATTCGCGTGTTTGCGATTCAGGATTTCGACGATTTGCGGAAAGCAGATGGCAGCTATGGTGACTAGCTTGCAAGCCTTTTCCCGCAGCACAATGAGTCATCCCACGCAGCATCTCGTGTTGTACTCTCAAAACTTTAGTGTTTCTGTGTGAAATGACCCCCCAAAAGACTGCCTAGTGTCAGTGCTAGTGATGCTAGTGGAGTGAAATGTAAAAGGCAGAAGTCAATGATGACCCTGACAAAGAAAGTTGAATTATTAGATAAGTTAAAAAAGAGGGGATGAGTGCTGCTGCGGCTGGTCGGTTGTTTGGTATATATATGCAGTAGTGAGCTTAGGTAGTTTAATTTGCTGTTCGTAGTTTTGCCTATTCACACCATTTTGGAACCTAACCCCTATGAATAACAAGGGTTTGCTGTATCAATATTTTTATTATCCATATCACGACTTCTGCGTAAACTATCACATACAATATTAAATGAAAAAAAAAGGTAAGAAGAAAGGTTGGGATTGTATGAAAATATCACTACCACCAGAAGGAGTTGTTATAACCCTAAGCTCTGTCCCGGGAGTAGATTTTAACAGAAATTTAGAGTGCTGATACAATACAGTGCATACTATACAATCAATAAGTGGTCCACTGTTCATAAGGTCAGAAATAGTGTAATGATAGTTTTATTAATAGTTCTTAAAGCATACCGTATATTTATATCCTAGGTCATAGCTTACATGTTATTTATATTTATTTCTGTTGTAACTGTAAGTAATCTTGCTGAGAGAAGAGACATTACAATACAGTATAGAGTAAACAAATGGCTAATGTTGTAGGACAGTCATGGGCCTTATTACGATTTGGGTACTGTATTTGTCTCCAGGCCAACCCACCAAAATTTAACAGAAGATGGTTGAAGCAGTCTGTGAATACGATGATTTTTCCTACAGTTAGTTCCAGCATTTTTCTTACTTATGAAGATACACCCACCAGAATAATGTCAATGTTGATCTTGACACATGAGGAACTACAATGAAACAACCTATTGGCACATCTATATGTTTTACAATATATATATATATATATATATATATATATATATATATATATATATATATATATATATATATATATATATATATATATATATATATATATATATATATATATATATATATATATATATAATCAGACAAGAATAAATAGATAGAACAGACAACCAGGCATAAAGGATGACGTACTGTACTGTGGAGAGAAATAGCCTGTCAGCAAGGAAGAGACCTTTACCTTTGACCCGTGTGACCACTGCCCACTTAGACTTTCCCAACCTTAGTTAATTTCCAAGTGACCCACTGCCACATATTAGCTAAGCCATCAAACAGACTGTGCTGAAATTGGCCCGTAAACTCACACAAGTTAAAATGTTTATATTGTTGACTATTTTCTTTTTACTTATTTCACTTACATTTTCGTAGTTATTGTACTTACTTTTAGGTGATGAAACAGTAACGAATTGTGTGTGAAGATTATTCTGTTAATAAATACTGTATTGCTTTATTCGCCATAAGTTGGCTGCATCTACCTGAACCACGGGCCACATTAAATAGAATTTCTCAATCACTCCATGAGCCACACAAAGACATGGTTTGAGCCGCATGCGGCCCATGGGCCACGGGTTGCCCATGCCTGTTATAGGAGAATGATTTGTACTTTGATAAAATCTTGTTGCTACAATTTACATGAGATATATGACCATCATCACCATGCATCTCCTGGTATGCATAAAGGTCTGTTGGTAGTGGAGCCTCACAAAACTTCCCTATGTGACTCTGTCTTAGAACAGCACTTCCTCTTCAACTGTCTAACATATCAGCTCACAGCACTATAAGGCCATGCATCCCAGTAAGCTCAATAGGCCACTCTGAACGTAGTAGAGCAACATGGCATCAAATGTTGGTTACTTGATTACTTAACTGATTTTCTTGTGGCTACTACATCTAATTGTGGTCCCTTGGCTTGCTGATAATCCCATTTTAATTCTAATGATCTTGATATGAATGAATTTTAAATGTTACAGAGTCCAGATCTGGAAAGATGTTTGGAATTCAACCACGTCAACAGATAATAGTCCTCTGGAGTACTCCAGTTAATGCGGAGGAACTACAAACGCTTGTTGGAGAACTTAAGGTGAGGACTGATGTTAACAATTTCTCTGAATGCATGGAACAGCTGCCCCCCGATTACTCGTATATGTATTCTATTGTGCACAGTGCTGTTAAGTAATGAAAGTACAGTCGACCCTCGTTAATTCGGACCCCTTTAATCCGGATTTCGGATAATTCGGACAAAATCTGATTTTTTTTTTTTTTTTTTTTAAGATTTGTAGGAATATTACCTACGCGGACCTTAAGCTAAAATGCTGGTCCACCCACTGATGGGATAAAACATGTAACATCTCCACCACTAGTGTGGGGGGTGGATGCAACTTTTAGCTTCAGACATGAAAAATATTTACCATTACTGCCAGTAAACAATGGAAACGTAAAATATGTACCAATTAGTAATGAAAAGTTGTGCAGTTCCTTCAGCAAATGAAGCTCACCAACTTACAATAGGCTAAATTACCTTACAACGTGTTTTCAGTAGTCTATGTTGAAGTTCTTAGCTCAGGCTAACTTATCATATCATATATATGGTATCACAGTTCTCATTAATCTACAAAAAATACCGGTAATAAAAACCTTTTCGATACTTCACACTTAATATAATACCCGGTAATCTACTTCAACCTCCTATTGTTTACAACGACGTATGACGCACCACCAGCTGTTGGGTATCAGCTAGACGGTACACGTGTTTTTCGAATCGTTTTCAGTTAAAAAACTGTTACATCACATGTATATTTTACCTAAACTGCGCCTGAATGAATATATTCTCAGAAATAAATAGTAGTTTTGCTGAAACGTGATGTATTTTAATGTAAAATAGGTTAAAATACATGACGAAAACAAGAGACTTTACTTAACCTTCTGATGTTCAAGAGAAGTTACTCGTTTTTTAATAGTTTTCGGTTGAAATACTGTTATATTAAAATGGTATTCTATTCATACTGTGCTTGATATAATGCATTCACGGAAATGTAATATTTTTGCTGAAATTACGTACGTATTACAGTGGAAAGTGGGATAAAATCTTGACAAAAACAATGACTTTGAAATATAATGCAAAATTAACCCCTAAATCGGTTAATTCGTACAATCGGCTAAAACAGACACCCTCTCCCCCCTATTAGTCCGAATTAACGAGGGTCAACTGTAATGAAACAGTAATAGGCATCTACAGTACTTCACTTGCACAATTTTGGTGATTTATGAGTTTGTTTAATTTATCTGGAGTATTCATAATTTTTCATCACATAATGAGTACAGTGGAACCTTAGTACAGGGGGTCCCCTACTTATGAACGCCTGCTGATACAAATGAGGTTAAACTTTAAATTTACATTACTATTTTATTTGCCTGCTGACTTACTTTTTTTTACTGTCATTTACTTTATTTTGTCATTCTTTTTCTTCTTTTATCTTAAATTAAATGATTTTAGATGTATATAAAGACTTAGGCTATGATAAAGTGGGATTTTAAACATTGTTCTGTAAGTTCAGTATGCACATAGCATGTGTTTTGACTTAAGTACATTTTCAACTTAAGAATGGCCTCAGGAATGGAACCCATTCATATCCCTGGGACCCCCTGTGCATTTTATGATACATGGGATTTGGGTATAAAATTTGTTTTAGGAACTTTTTAAAACTATAGTATGTAAGAACAAATTTAAAGAGTAAAGGCATATACCCTGTACCTGGACTGCTTGCAAATACCTGTAAAGTGTACTGTACAGTACAGTACCTGTACTGAACTAGAATTATAGCTGACAGAGGCTGTACTCTCCATACAACCCTGATAAATCCTAGGATTTAATGCCCATGATACTGAACAAAATGATACATCTTGTAATAATTTTCAATGTTTACAACAGTATGCAGGGGGTCCCCGGGTTACAAATGGGTTCCATTCCTGAGGCCGTCCTTAAGTCGGAACACATACCCTGTGTGCACTATATCATAGCTTAAGTCCTTTTATACATCTTGAATCACTTAATTTAAGAGAAAAGAAGACATGGTATGACTAAATACAGAAAAGAAAAGTAAGAAGTAAAATATAACACAAACAATGAAGCATGGGGCTGACTTGCAGGTAGAGATGGGCATTTATAGGCGTGACAGAGGCTTTATTGGGACGAAACTGAAGATGGTGATGTAGATGTTAACAGGACTGGTTGTGGAGAATCTAGTGAGGTAAAGTTAACTGATTCTGGAGCTGCTGGGAGTTGCTCTGTAGATGCTGCAGAGATTAATGGGAGTTGCTCTGTAGATGCCACAGAGGTTGATGGGACTGGTTTTGTAGATGCTGCAGAGATTAATGGGACTGGCTCTGTAGATGCTACAGAGGTTGATGGGACTGGCGCTCTAGATGCTGCAGAGGTTGATGGGACTGGTTCAGTAGATGCTGCAGAGGTTAATGGGACTGGTTCTGTAGATGCCACAGAGGTTGATGGGACTGGTTTTGTAGATGCTGCAGAGATTAATGGGACTGGCTCTGTAGATGCTACAGAGGTTGATGGGACTGGCGCTCTAGATGCTGCAGAGGTTGATGGGACTGGTTCAGTAGATGCTGCAGAGGTTAATGGGACTGGTTCTGTAGATGCTGTAGAGGTTAATGGTACTGGTTCTGTAGATACTGTGGAGGTTAATGGGACTGGTTCTGTAGATGCTGTAGAGGTTAATGGGACTGGTTCTGTAGATACTGTGGAGGTTGATGGGACTGGTTCTGTAGATGCTGCAGAGGTTAATGGGACTGGTTCTGTAGATGCTGTGGAGGTTAATGGGACTGGTTCTGTAGATGCTGCAGAGGTTAATGGGACTGGTTCTGTAGATGCTGCAGAGGTTAATGGGACTGGTTCTGTAGATGCTGCGGAGGTTAATGGGACTGGTTTGGGCTGACTTTTGACTTTATTAAAGAAACTTTTCAAGGGATGGTTGAACTGAACCTTTCTTTTTTTCCTCAAATCTCTTTGTAGCATCATAGACATTGAGTAATACCTCTATGAACTTTGATGAATCTTGCTATGTTGAGATCTTGCTGTTCATATTTTAAACAAACCTTCCACCAATTCTTTTGTAATGAATTACTTTGATTCTGGAGTTTCATCTTCCTCTACATCCTCTGACAAAATTTGATTCTCCTGTTCAGTCAGGTCCTCACTGCTTAATTCTTCAGTATGAGACTCAAGCAACTCTGAGACATGATCCTCATGAATATCAAGCTGGAGTTAGTTAGGCAATAACTCCCAGGTCCATCGGTTGTAAAACAGATGTTGTGTTTGTAGGTAGGTACACAACCATAATGCTTGGATGAACATCATCTAAAAATGCTGGATGACCAGGTGCACTGTCAAGAACCAAGATAATTTTAAAAGGCATTGACTTTGAAATACAATACTGTAGCGCTCCACTTCAGGCACAAAATGACTAAGGCAGATGCCGTTGATTTTGGTCTTCCACCCACATCACTAACAATCTTTCCATTTCAATGAACAATCCAGCTCTTTGTTTTGTTATCATAGTTGAGTGCATTGGTGTAGATCCTTTAATACTGTATATTCAAGAATTTTCTGCCTTTCAAAATTGTTCCAACCGTTCACTGGCTGAAGCCCAACGCCTTACTGATTACTGAGGGTGTTCTCCTTATTCAGAAAGTTTAATTACATTTATTTTCACTTCCATCGTAATTATTTTCCGTTTCCTGGATCCACTACTATGAATTGCATCAGGTTTGCATTTGGGAGCCATGATGAGGGCAGAAAAAGAGAGTTAATAAGCAAAAAACAACAGTTTGCACTGGATCACGCACATTAAGGCAGTGAGGTGTACTGACACTCCCTCTCCCTCGACGTGTTACTGGGTGCGACGCATCACTCCCCACGCGCTGCTCCATCTCCCCTCTACACTGCTCAAACTAGTTCTAGTACATAACTGCTACGAACCATTGTACTTATGTCAGATTTTTTAAATGATTGACCTTATGGGACCTTGTTTGTATCAGCGGGCGTTCGTAAATCGGGGACCCCTTGTACTATATTTAATTTTCTTTAAGTCTGAACATTAACTTATTCAATGGGTTATTGCACATACTGCCCTCCTTTATGCAGAATAAAACAAACATTGGATGATGTTGACCACTGTTCTATAAGGAAACACACAATAATGAGAACTATTAGTTAAAGGATTAAATAACATGGTATGATTAAAATAAATTTGGTTGTTTTTTACATTTTACTTATAAGTTTAAGATCCATTCACTTGTAGTTTATGCACTGAAAATGGTTACCAACAGTTACATCATCTTCCTATTTCATTTAATAGGGAGAATATTGTAGGGCACCTTTTTACAAAACTCTGGATCCATAAACAGCACAGTATGGTAAATCTTGGCACTTGCAGAGAACTTGGTCACTTAGAGAATTTTACTTACGCGGTGTAATAATTTTAAGTTATATCTCCCCATTTACAACAAACCTCTCGGTGCTTTGTCGGTGTACAGTATAACAGATTTTCTAATTACTGTACATGAATATGATAAAGGGGAGCACAGCTTTTTCTGTCTTTTACCTTTTAACTTCCAAAATCCTTTCGAATTTAAGAAAATCTTGAACCTGTATAAATCAAGAAGTTAGGTGAACAAAAGGGGTCACATGCCACTCCTCCTAATGTGCCCACTGATTAAAATTACACTGTATACCGTATGTGTTACTTTTTCTTAAGGCAAACTACTGTAAATTTGTATACCGTACTGTCCTTGCCTTAGGTAATGTATTGTATCACTAATTTTAGACAAAGTTACAAACCATGTTTCTACGTTAAGAAATCTTTTTATTTAGATTTAGTAATTTTTTCTTTTAATATCATTTGCTGTAGTGTTGTTCTGGAAGTTGAGCTTGTTTGCCATTTTTTTCTTTTCAGTCAGCAGTTGGAAATGAAGGGAAGGTGGCAGTTGAGAACTCAGATATGCTAATGACTTCCAACCATCAAGGAAGTACCTTTGACCATGTACTAGCAGGTGTTCTTCCCCCTTTTACATTCCTTTGTCCAGTCAACATCTTGGGTGAAGCTCTTCGTATTCTTAAACCAAGCGGATGCTTAACTGTAAGAACGACAGACACAAGTGCCACACAGTCAAATTTGAAACTAGCAGGTTTCACTTCCATATCAGAACCAAAGAATGCAAATCTTACAGATGAACAGAAAAGGGACCTTACAACATCAGTTGTAGAGGTGACATGTAAAAAGCCCAATTTTGAAGTGGGCTCAGCCATGAAACTTTCATTTGCAAAACCCCCTGTATCAAAGCCATCGGTTGGTACTTGGAACATTGATTTGGATGATAATGATGTAGATCTAGCTGACCCAGATGATTTACTAACAGAAGAGGACTTGAGCCGACCTGACCCTGCAAGTCTGAAGGTGTGTGGAACTACAGGGCAACGCAAGGCCTGTAAAAACTGTGTTTGCGGTTTAAAAGAAGAACTTGATGCAGAGAACATGAAGACTGTTGAAGAAAACAAGAAAAACTTTAAATCATCATGTGGTAGCTGTTACCTTGGGGATGCATTCAGGTGTGCCTCTTGTCCATATCTTGGGATGCCTGCATTTAAGCCAGGAGAAAAGGTGAAGCTTACAGACAGCACACTCCAGGATACAAATTGAGATTTTTTTTTTATAGAATTTTGGTAATACCTCATGTTTCTTTAGATTCAGTGTTATCATATTCATGGTTGTCCAAAAGGATAAATTAATTTTGGTTTATACATAGAGTCATTATGGTGTGTGAATCAGGTATTTAATAGTATGTTATAAGTAAGCAGAGCCATATATACAATATATATTATATATTTTTACTGAACTACTTGAATATTTACTAATGATAATGAATTTATGTTCAACATAATGTGTTCAATATTATTTTTTGTATTCTGTAAAGATCTTGCAGAATTTGAGTGTACTGTACCTATAAATAAGCTAAATACAGTATAAAGATGCAGTGTTTGAATTAATAAATCTAGTACAGTACAGTGGTCCCTTGGTTAACGAACAATTTGATTAACGAAATTTCGGTTAACGAACAAAACTTCGATTAACGAAATTCTTACGACAAACACGTTTTGTTGTGCATCAGCTGATCAGCTGATTGGCCAGTCTGCCAATACAGTAATCAGTTCTATGTTTACAGTCATTTCCAGTGGAGTAAATATCAAGAAAGTTGGTCTCTTGAATATTTCTGCAATTTTTCTTATTAAAATTATTGGTCATTCTGAAATTTAGTTAACATTTTGATAATATACAGTATACAGTACAGGGAACAGTTTTTGTGTGCCAATAAGCTGATTGAATTACCCAACAACACTTCTCAGTTTAACTTTGTTGACAGTGGAGTGAACATCCAGTTTGTTGATCTCTTGAATATTTTTTCATTTTTACATTAAAATTATTGGTCATTCTGAAATTTAGTTAAGATATTGAAAATATACAGTGCAGAAATTATTATGAAACATGAAGAAGGCATTAGAACCAATGCACACTGTAAAGAATATGGCATGATATCATCGACTGCCTCTACAATCAGCTGTTTGATATGTAAACAAAGCTGCCGGGAACACGACATACACACCTCAAAGTAAGTTGAAATACAGTATTCTATTGTTTTTTTATTTATTATTGTACAGTATACTGTACAGTACAGTACTGGACAGTATTTAGTTTATATTTAATAATTTGTTAATTCTATTACTGGTATATAGTATTTTGTATGTACAGGTATACTTTTTCTGTGAGTTGGAACCAATTACCCAATATCCCATTGAAATAAGAGATTCAGTTAACAAAATTTTCGGTTAACGAACGACTCTGTGGAACGAATTGTGTTTGTTAACCGAGGGACCACTGTACAGGGTATGCTGTATATAAAAGAAAATTTTATTTTTCAAAAATTATTGTTTTTGAAAATTTTGGTTATTTTAAGTTTATTATAATAAGTTAATAAAAGCACAGGTATTATTAATAAAACACTTATGAGATGCATAGAGCATCAGCATTTTGGCTTTGTGATGTTACAGAAGACTGCAAAGTCCATAGTATACTGTAATGATAAATCCCCATTTTATTTGAACAAGATACATTTTTTATTATTGGTTAACAAAGCGCATAAGTAGTATCTACATAAAGAATTAATTGTAGCCTGTTAATCACATAGTCTCACAATTGTAGAATGTTTCCCCAGATGTCTGTTGCTATCATTGAAATAATTACTGAGGCCCTGTTATGCTCATTGATGCTAAAAACTTCTAAAATTACATATGTTAGCTATTTCCTAATTGAATTTGGGCATGACAGTTTGTACAAAAATGCAACTGAGGATTTTCTTAGGAAGTATAATATATAGGAAGAAGTTGAAATAAGCAAATGTGAAATGAGAAAGTTACCGGTAGTAATCTCAAAGTTTAAAGGCTTGTGAACAATTTAACCATGTGTCACCATTACTGTAGTGTTGTTACATTGTGAAGTGGCCAGAAGAAATAAACAGTTATAGAGGACAAACTTCTTAATATCTTTCATAGTGCTTCCATGCGAGATGTGGTTATTGATTTATAGTCAGCTAACAAGTACTGTAAGCTTTCTATCTGTACTATATGCATTAAGGTAATAAGCCTATTAAATGTTGGAGTGTATGGCTTAGGAGGGAAGTGCACAAGATCTGTCACCCTTATACCCCTGTCATCTCTAGGGAGTTGTGAACAGGTCGTCCTACTTGAAAGGTGACGTTGAATACAGTAATTAGTTTTTACACCTGTTGAGAAAGAATTCACTTAGTTCTTGAAACCAGATGGCCTCATAAGATTTGTGGAGTAATAAGGTAGTACTGTAATTGTCTTAGCAATACCTTATATTACAGTGGCATACCAGCAACATCGAAAAAAAAAATAAAGGAAAATCAGTTAATTTTTCTTGGGCCACATTTGTAAAAATAAACAGTATTTAATTTGATCACACAATGGCATGAAACACAAGTTTTACATTGAGTAAACATATGAATTTTAATGTGCAGTTGTAACAATCACACAACAGAATTTTTTTTATTACAGTAGACTTACTCCAATCTTGAATAAATGGGGCCTGTCTGGTCTGGTCAAAATTCTGGGTTGGGAGAGGGTCTGTATTGTCTACAGTGCAAGGTGGAAAATTTGAGAGGGTGAGGGACTTCTGATTCAAGCTACTTAAGAACACTGAACCCACTGTAATTTTTGGCCTAGAATTAACACCCTGAGGGTTTTTATATGTCAAATTAAAGTTTTTTAACCGCTTAGGGCTTTAACGTGTGGAAAAAAGTAAATTTTTGTTCAATCAAAAATGCAACGTCTAGCTTTGTACCTAAATATGTATATGAGCTGCATTAACTTGCCAAGCCAACATACAGGCAATTAAAACATCTAATAATTACTAAAATATGTAATATTAGGAGGACACGTTGCTACCTGGCATTTACATTAATTGCAATTCTCAAAACCCCTCACCTGCTGGCACACGCGTCACTGCTGTCATCTTTCTTGCCTGGCGACTCGGCAGTAAACCCGCACATAGAAGGCTCCACTATTCTGTGTTGTGATTGCTTGAATATTAAGTGCCATGAGGAATTTCACTTCGGTAATTATACATCTTATCACGGTGAGCAAAATTGAGTGGTTTTAGTTTTGGTGATGCCACTCAGATTTTGTGTTTGGGGTAGTTTATACGGTTTGGTCAAACATGGCGACCGCAGCTCGTCTTCACTGTATTTTTTTTTTTTAGCCCCCAACTATTACCGTGCACGTGTTGTGATGAGTTACCATGGTGAATGTGGCCATTCCATCCTCTTCCCCCTTCTTCTCATGTTCGTTCATGAAACGTTTTGGGCTCCCACCCCATGGGATGTGATTTTCCCTCCTCCCTGGGTTTTATGATTACTCTTAGCATTCAGGCCGGAGTTACGTTTTTCTCTTCATAACTCTATTTTATTCATGTCCTCAGTAACGGGTTCAGCCCTTCGCGGCGGACCTTAGCGAAGCTGCTAGTCTAAGCGATCCTTCCGGATGCTGACCTTCCGGTCTTAGTAGCAATCTAGAATTATGTTGGGATGAACTGTGTAACATCAGCCATGGGTTACATAAGAGCCACTCAGATGGTGGGATTTCTCAGCCTAATACATCTTGCTCGAGAAATGGTAAGCAATGTTGGCCAATGGAGCGTTAAGGTAGCGGCTCAGCACTGTCAACCCTGCTGGGTGACTTGATGCTTACTCAGGCATCATCGCTCAAGAATGATTAGTTTAAGCGGCATGTCTGTGCTACCTGGTTGGCAATAAATAGAGAACTGAGTGGTTCATAAAAATATCCTAAGGCTATGAGTGCACTGAACTTTGTTAGGGTCGCCAATAGAGAATGATCACACTGATTCCTATCATGGCAGAACGAATGCCCTGACCTTGATGATGATTATGATCGCTCTGAACTGAATCTTAGCTTGATCAAGGAGCAAAGTTCAATAAGCTGAGGGGCAATTGAGATAAGAGAAGGGAGAGGTGTATGATATAGTGAGTTAGTCGTTTAAGTTTGTCTCACTGGTGACTCAAAAGAACATTTGCAGGTATTAATATGAATGGATGTTAAATTGAGATACTGAAATATAGTAATGAGTCATATTGATTATCCTTGGAAGAAAATGTAATCTTCCTTGTATTATTATGATAATGATGAGACAATGTGACTATATGTTAGTATCTTGAGTGACTCATAGTGTTCCTCCTAGTTCAGATGAGTGATGTGCAACAGGAAGATGAAGGACAGTTGTCTGGGATGCTAGACGACAGAGGAGACCCCGGGACAGTCACTGGGGAGTTAGTGTTGAGCGAGGAGCTACAAGGATTGGATGGCTCAACTCGTACACTGCGTACAGGGAAGCCTCCGTCATCAGAGGATGTGAATTCGTTAGTAGTAGGTTCACCTATGACCCAAGGGGACCATACTACATGTAATTATCAAGGATGTAGGGCCACTTGGGTTATTACTAATTCAGATCCTCATTTGGCTTGCATAAATCATAGCAGCTGTGTTTCAGACAACCTGTTCTCACCATTTGATTGTGCAGTTTGTTATGACTTAATTTCTAGAATTAATCAAGCTTCAGGAGAAAAGAAGGATTTTTTGAAGAGCCAAATTAAAAAAAAAAAGGAATAAGGCCTTAAAGAGTAAATTTGTAAATGTTAAACACTGGAAATATCCCAAGTTGGCAGAAAGTTTAGGCTTATAGGTGATAGGTAAGAGACTTACGGTAATCCCTAGTTAGACCAACCTGCTTCTTCTAAGAAAAGTAGATTATTGGACATCCGGGATAATGAGGTAGTAGGAATGTTGCAAGAACTTCTACCTAGTCAGTTCGATTTTAGTGGATTCCAGGATCAGGATGAGGAAGTTGTCACTAAACATAGTTTTCAGTTACTGGAGCAGGGAGAGCCTGTTGAGACTGACTTCACCCTGTCCCCATCTTGGCAACCTCTTCCACCTGGGGCAAAAGTGTTGGTTACTACAGATATGCCACTTGGTACCCCTCAAGGTGGAGTACTTAGCCCCACTTTGTTCAATGTTCTTATGAATGCATTATTAAATTTAATACCAGACAACCCCAGCAATATCTCAATCAGCTATGCTGATGATATTCTTATACATACTAAAACTCATCTTGAAATGCAAACCACCCTGAACCATGTATACGCAGCCTGTGAGAACCTCGGTCTTATTATCTCCACTGAGAAAACTAAGGTGTTCAACAAACAAGCTGGTAACCGCAAATGCGGCCCCGCCAAGTTCAAGATAGGTAACAACACTATTGACTATGTTTTTTCTTTTAAATATCTTGGTGTTTCCTTCTCTTGTACCCAACCTGCCATACAACAGCTAACCCACCAATGTACTGACTGACTGAGACCTCTTAGAAGTGTAGCGGGGTACAGCC